GGAAATTTTTTCCCATAAAAGTAGGCCTTAGACAAGGATGTGTGATGTCACCGTGGTTGTTTAATATATTTATAGATGGGGTTGTAAGAGAAGTAAATGCGAGGGTCTTGGCAAGAGGCGTGGAGTTAAAAGATAAAGAATCACACACAAAGTGGGAGTTGTCACAGCTGCTCTTTGCTGATGACACTGTGCTCTTGGGAGATTCTGAAGAGAAGTTGCAGAGATTGGTGGATGAATTTGGTAGGGTGTGCAAAAGAAGAAAATTAAAGGTGAATACAGGAAAGAGTAAGGTTATGAGGATAACAAAAAGATTAGGTGATGAAAGATTGAATATCAGATTGGAGGGAGAGAGTATGGAGGAGGTGAACGTATTCAGATATTTGGGAGTGGACGTGTCAGCGGATGGGTCTATGAAAGATGAGGTGAATCATAGAATTGATGAGGGAAAAAGAGTGAGTGGTGCACTTAGGAGTCTGTGGAGACAAAGAACTTTGTCCTTGGAGGCAAAGAGGGGAATGTATGAGAGTATAGTTTTTACCAACGCTCTTATATGGGTGTGAAGCGTGGGTGATGAATGTTGCAGCGAGGAGAAGGCTGGAGGCAGTGGAGATGTCGTGTCTGAGGGCAATGTGTGGTGTGAATATAATGCAGAGAATTCGTAAGTTTGGAAGTTAGGAGGAGGTGCGGGATTACCAAAACTGTTGTCCAGAGGCTGAGGAAGGGTTGTTGAGGTGGTTCGGACATGTAGAGAGAATGGAGCGAAACAGAATGACTTCAAGAGTGTATCAGTCTGTAGTGGAAGGAAGGCGGGGTAGGGGTCGGCCTAGGAAGGGTTGGAGGGAGGGGGTAAAGGAGGTTTTGTGTTGCGAGGGGCTTGGACTTCCAGCAGGCATGCGTGAGCGTGTTTGATAGGAGTGAATGGAGACAAATGGTTTTTAATACTTGACGTGCTGTTGGAGTGTGAGCAAAGTAACATTTATGAAGGGATTCAGGGAAACCGGCAGGCCGGACTTGAGTCCTGGAGATGGAAGTACAGTGCCTGCACTCTGAAGGAGGGGTGTTAATGTTGCAGTTTAAAAACTGTAGTGTAAAGCACCCTTCTGGCAAGACAGTGATGGAGTGAATGATGGTGAAAGTTTTTCTTTTTGGGCCACCCTGCCTTGGTGGAAATCGGCCAGTGTGATAATAAAAAAAAAATATTATATATATATATATATATAATATATATATATATATATATATAAATATATATATATATATATATATATATATATATATATATATTATATATATAATATATATAATATATATATATATATATATATATATATATATATATATATATATATAATATATATATATAAATATATAAAATATTTAAGTATTTCTAGAGATGAAAATTATATTGGAATTTTTTATCACACTATAACTGCATGCCATAATTTATTTGGCACTTTCATATTTCACATTGATATTAGCTTATAAAATGCATATAAAACAGTAGTGTATTTGTGTGGTTTTGTGTCCTCTAAAGACATGTTTTGCTTATTTTTAATAATCAGCAAAATAAATATTGTACTGTACATTAATTTCTGTCCTGGTAAAAAAAAATTTTGGCAACCAGAAAAAGTAATTAAGAAATGAGAAATATGTTAAACTAGTGAAGCTGTCAATACTGTAAATTAAAAAAGACACATTGCAGAATGAGCTTTCATTGGGACAATGTTTATGTCTGTTAGAGCTTTACCAAGTCATTCAATTTCACTACTGTCAAAGGGTTCGTTTTACGTAGGGTGTCAAGTCTTGACCTATAGGGAAAGTAGATGTTATAGTCTTGAGTGCATTTTTAATGTTAACTTTATATATTTCAGGAAATAAAATTCCTTTGTGTCACAGACTTCTGGACTCTAGGAAAATAAAACTTTTTATTCTTAATTGATTTATTTTTAAATTACATGCTATTAACAGCTATACACACCACTTCTATGAAGTAGTGTGTATAGTTTTTAATGTTTCTGGAATTGGAAGCAACTTTTAAAGCATCCTTTCTCATTATTTTTCTGAAGCTCAATGATACTGCTAATCTTGGGCTGTGAACCATGAATTCCAAGGATCCCTATACTTTTTATGTATAAACATTTTCTGATATTCAAGATGGCTATTACCACATTGTGTAGTACTATATTATATATTAGTTTGTCCAGACTGAAGTATGTTTCTTTGTTACTACTACTACTGGTATATCTACTTTTACAGAAAGTGCCTTGATGCTGGTGAAAAGCTTTTGATTCTGGAAATCAGAGCTACCCTACACTTTTTTTGTTCAAACCTAAAGGCATCTAATTCCTCTGGCACTGTATGACTACAGAAGTAGTATCCAAGGACCCTCCAGAACTGGGAAAATGATTGCCAAAAGCTTTTCAGTATTATTATGAATCTTGAATCACAACCAAATTTTGGTTAAAAAAAATAAAAATAAGGAAGTTTCAGGCATTGTGGGCTGAGACCGGTGCTGTATGACCCTTGTAGGTTTAGTGCTTCTCTTTGATTATAATAATAATGTGGGCTGAGGCATCATTACTGTACCTTGCTATTTTAAGGTGCTACAGCATCATTACTGTACACTTATTATAAGGGACCCAACAGTAATCAATGACCCTTACAATTACGTATAGCGTTTTCCAGGAACATCACAATATCAAGTGCCACAGAAGCATTACTGTAAACCATTACTACTAGGTACCAGACTTTACCATACCCTTGTTATTATAAAGGAACAGATTATCGTTACTGAAAAGATGGATGTATGCACCATTCACCTTTTTTCCCTTGTCAGTTATTTTATTTATTAACTTAAATACTAATCATATTTTTTACTCAATGTATTTTCTTTTAACTGTCTGAACCTCACTAGAGTTCAGGTATTTCAGAAAGCATCAACAACAGTGTTAGGTAAGAACAGTTATTTTTATGACATTAATCGTCCCAGATGCATACGAGCGGCCCCGACGCGGCCAGTGTGCCATTGTTTATCAACTAGTGAGCACGATCCCACGCATTCATATGATACATTTTGTAATATTCCATTCATTTTAGTGCCTGCAACTGCTAAATAAGCTATTATGGGCCCAAAGAAAGCTAGTGCCAGCCCTTTGGTAAAGAAGGTGACAAACACGATAGAATTAAAGAAAAAGATTGTAGAAAAATATGAAAGTGGTGCTGGTATGGTGGTAGAGGGTGGTAATGATTGTGATGGTGGTAGTGGTTGTGATAGGGGTAGAGGGTGGCAGTGGTTGTGATGGTGGTAGTGGTTGTGATAGGGGTAGAGGGTGGTAGTGGTTGTGATAGGGGTAGAGGGTGGCAGTGGTTGTGATGGTGGTAGTGGTTGTGATAGGGGTAGAGGGTGGTAGTGGTTGTGATAGGGTAGAGGGTGGTAGTGGTTGTGATAGGGGTAGAGGGTGGTAGTGGTTGTGATAGGGGTAGAGGGTGGTAGTGATAGTGGTAGAGGGTGGCAGTGGTTGTGATGGTGGTAGTGGTTGTGATAGGGGTAGAGGGTGGCAGTGGTTGTGATGGTGGTAGTGGTTGTGATAGGGGTAGAGGGTGGTTGTGATAGGGGTAGAGGGTGGTAGTGGTTGTGATAGGGGTAGAGGGTGGTAGTGGTTTGTGATAGGGGTAGAGGGTGGTAGTGGTTGTGATAGGGGTAGAGGGTGGTAGTGGTTGTGATAGGGGTAGAGGGTGGTAGTGATAGTGGTAGAGGGTGGCAGTGGTTGTGATGGTGGTAGTGGTTGTGATAGGGTAGAGGGTGGTAGTGATAGTGGTAGAGGGTGGCAGTGGTTGTGATGGTGGTAGTGGTTGTGATAGGGGTAGAGGGTGGTAGTGGTTGTGATAGGGGTAGAGGGTGGCAGTGATAGTGGTTGTGATAGTGGTAGAGGATGGTAGTGGTTGTGATGGTGGTAGAGGATGGTAGTGATGGAAATTTGTGCATTGAGAAGTAGGATGGAAAGATTTTTGGAGGAACATCACCCTAACAAAGCTGTTGTAAGTAATGTCAGCAACATGTATAATAACAATGTCTTGTCCCATTTTAGGGAAATTTTAAAAAGATGCCAGAAACAGAGCTCTCTGGACAGATATTTAGTGTCACAGGTGTGTAGTGACTCTCAAGCTGGTATTAGTGGCATTAAAAAACAAAGAGGGGAAGTTTGTTTGGAAGGGGATTCCCCTTCCAAATAATAATTTCTCCATCCTCTCCTCTCCTCCCATCTTCCATACACTAAGAAGAATGTTCAATAAAGGTGTCATGTTATTATTGTTTTATTCTTCATGTCTCATTGTTTTCTGTGCATGTACATCTATATGCATATAAAAAACTATTTTGTTTTAATACTTTTGGGTATCTGGAACGGATTAATTGGATTAACGTTATTTCTTGTGGGGAAAATGGTTTCGCAAATTGTAAATTTCGCCATTAGTCACACTCTCTGGATTGGATTAATTACGAAAATGAGGGTCCACTGTAGTTTTACATACAAATTAGGGCATACGAAAACTGAGGTCCCACTGTGTTTTCCAGTGGTGGAAATCATTAATAGCCCAGTTTTCAGGAACCTAACCTGCACAAATAATAATTGTCCATTGTATATGTTAAACAGGTCTTTTACTTTTGAAGGGAAAATTTTTTATTGGGTCGTATGCTTCTTCTGAATACACTGGGGGAGAATCAGGGAAAACTTCAAATGTTGTTTTCCCAATTTAACCTTAAATGTATTTGTTTACAAGAACTTAGCTGTATAGTCCTTGTGGCTTAGCGCTTCTTTTTGATTATAATAATAATAATAATTACAAGAACTTAAACTACATAAGTCTCTGGTTATCTTTCTTTTTTTTCAGTCATATGATGCTTATCCTGATGCATCATACAGTGAAAGCACACCTCTAATGTGCAATGATTTTTTACATTCTCAGATTTCCATTCATACCACAGGCCAAGACACTTCTCATTACAAGGGCTGTTTGCAAGGTACTAGAACACTCGGTTAACAAATGACTCGTATGAAACTTAGAAACCCAAAACACAACTGTTCCTTCGTCAGTGTGGTTTCATTAGAACCATTTCACCTTCCATTCCTACTCTGCCTCAATACACACAGTACAGAGTACTGTACTGTATCTTTGTTCTTCAACCTAAAATATGACATAGAAGACAAATGAAAAGACACAGTGCGGTTTTTTTTATTTATCACCTTATAATTAGACATAAACAGAGTATGATTTTAGTCACATGTATGTGAAAACACAATATGAAATGCATAGGTTTTGGTTGTCACATCTCCCACCCAAGTCAAGGCACATATAACATGTGGAAGTAACTATAAGAACAAAACATTATTGGCTCCTAAATAACAAATAAATTACTTATAGCAATACAAAATAAAATTTCATGTAATCCAAATTCTGGTATATATAAATAAGCATTATAATTTATAAATTTCAAAAAAATTTGTATCCTTTAAGGAAGCATGGAAAATAAGAATTAGGTGCACAAGACCAGGTATCAATTATTATTATAATAAAAAAGAACCAGGTATCAAGATATCATGCCTGTAAATTCCCAGTCATTGAAAGTAAAAATATCACATTCCTTAAAAACATAATCTACTAAATATATGGGTATTTCAGTGCAGTGTTTTCCTGTTGCCTAGTAAATATCATGGCACCTGCAGCAGTAAAGGACCTCTTCTCTAAAGCAGTAGTTCTTAGCCCTTGCATTACAACCCAATTTTGGGTTGCCAAGCCATTTTGAGTCGGTTGTCAAGGGTTTCTAATAAGTGGTTAAACTTTTTTTTTTTTTTTTAAGTCCAGATCACAGCCTCTAATGACTTTACATGAAAATTCAATGATATATTAACTTCACAAAAAAAAAAAAAAAAAAAAAAAAACAGTACAGTGCATCTTGAATGACCATTATCAACTACTTTTTTTCTATTGAGGGTTTTGTCATGAGAAAATGTAGACTAAAATCTGATATAGTTTTTTTGAGATTCATACGTGTTGCTGATCCTGAAGTACCGAGGCTGAAATGTTTCATCTGTGGGAAAACTAGTGGATCCAGGGAGGTGTCACTAAGCATCTGATGCACAAATAACCCGCACATAAAAGAGAGAAGCTTACGACGACGTTTCAGTCAGACTTGGACCATTGACAAAGTCACACTGTGTGACTTTGTCAATGGTCCAAGTCGGACCGAAACGTCATCGTAAGCTTCTCTCTTTTATGTGCGGGTTATTTGTGTATCGTTCCAGTCACGGTATTGTGCCTTTTTGTTATTTATTTAAGCATCTGATGGCTTCTTATTTCCAGGAAGGGGCTTGGATTAAACTATCAGTTGGATAATCAGGTGTAGTTTTTGGCAAGCAGGTTTTTCAATGACAAGAGCAGCTATTTGATACATGTATGGTATGGGAATTCAAATAGTGAAATGCCAAGCATCTATGACCAGAGATACAAACTACTAAGAAATTATTTCACCACTGAAGTTATAAATTTCTTGTAATGCGGTATCCTGGGAAAACAAGACATTCAAAGTCGTGTTGTATTCCTCTGTTTACAGTGCATTTTGCACTGACTGTTCTCTGTTTACAACACACATTGGAGTTGTGGCAGGAAGGTCTTTTACAGATATGGCACATGAGCACTCTTAACTAATTAAATGAGCATCTTTGGCAGAGAAGGAAAACCAGTCTAAAAAGTCACTTGATGCCTGATATAGGTCACAAAGTTTCTTGGACTAAAATGAAAGGAATACCAATTATGATTCAATTTGAGTTGGATAAAACTGAGAAAGAAATTGTTCAAGTTTTTTGTTGTCGGCAGAATGTTACTTTACATGGACATTAAGATGACTCAGTATTTGGGTGAATATCTAACAGCAAGCAAATTTCATGCTTTAACAGTTTCACTTAGTGGCTGGTGATTCTATTCTAGTTACCTCAACAGTGCTCCGAAAAATTGTACCTAGCACTCCAAAACAAAATCAGTGATGCTGTGAAAGATGTAACAATCTGATGTGGGATATGAAGGCAGTAAGATTATTTACAGTTGCAGCAAACAAAGTCGGACTATACAAACTTAGAGCAATTGAGTCTGCCTGAGATTTGTAGGTAAGAGGTTAAACTTTCATTTTTATTCATCTTCACATTAAGATATCTGGAACAGTAATATAAAAAAAATCAGCACTTTATTACAGGTTAAATTTAAGAATAATTTATTAGTACATAAGTAACTTCCTCAAAATAAATCTCAACTATGACATCTTACAATTAAGATATCCGTTTGCTTTTAAAAATACTTGTATCCAACATAAAAAAAAATATACCAATGTGTCTAATTATTATTAATCATATAGCAATTCATAATATTAGTAGCAGAGTCAATATCTTTATATATTTTATAACATTCTTGCAGACAAAAGAGAGCAACATTCATGTAGTATTCAAGAGATTCATCAATGAGACTGGAGATACCACTAGGAGAGGGTTGTCAGAGGTACCCAAGAACATTCACAAACTCAGGACTGAACAGATCATCCAAAAGCTGTATATACACACTGTGCAAGCTGCTGGTAAAAACAGTTAAACTTTCCCTTAACCCTTTCAAGAGTATGTAGTGCTGCAGCAGCACTTTATAAATGATATTCAGTTATTATTAATACTGTGCACATCACATTATTAATAATGGTACTTAGTTTCAGTCTCAACTTGGTCCTATTCCAGCACAAACCCAAACAGTTTGACAGAATACAATTTATTATGGACCAACTTAGACCACCACTGTTGCCAACAATTGCAAAGTTGTCTAGAGATTATTGCAAAAGAGTTTGAGAATGGAATACTCCTATATGAAATGAGATCATGAATGGTTGACTGTACAGCAGAGTCTACTTGCTTGTTTCTCTGAACATTCACACATCCAAGGACCCAGCAAAAAACAGTGCCTGTGTGTCTCCTAGAAATGCAGCGCAACCCAAGTTAATAGAAAGAATGATGGGATGTGGAGAACCAAATTTCTGGACAGCCTATAATGCACTAAAGAAGTGTGAAACTACTATGAATGTTGAGGTAGGCAGGAATGCAATATGTATAACAACAATGTGAATGGCATACAACTCGACTGTGAAAATTTTAGTCCTCCTTCAGAGGACTTTGAACCATCAGTGTAAACTGCAATAGCACAAGAATGAACATTAATTTAGACAATACTGTTGAGAAAGTCACTACTAAACATTCACAGAAAATTACATTAGATATTTTCTCTTAAATGTTGTTGTTATTTACATCACAATGAAATTCATTATTATCATTATAATCAATTTAAGTACTAAACCCAAAGTGATGTTATTAAAGACTAAATATTTTCATTGCTTTGAGATAAAAAAAAAAAATATCTGGACAGTATAGATACAGTGGGAATCGCATTAAAATGTAATATTTTTATGTAAATTTATGATGGATATTTTCAACAAAGGTTTTAAAATTTGTATGGATTGTTCAGTTCATGAAGTGAGCTTGATATGGTTTAATTTTATGCACTTCTAAAGCAAAGAATTTTCTGGTAGAGCTTATAGTACTTCCCCAAGCCCCCCCTAGTAGTACACTCAATGCTCACTTTAGTCGCACTTCACACTAATAAATTTATGAATCTGCCACTGGGGAGAACCCCCCAAAAATCTAAAGGTTTTCTTGAATGATCAGCAAAATTCCTTTAAAAAAAAAAACTGCGTCAGTAGTTAGATATGCCAATCAATAAGGCCGTCTTCTCCAACCAACACGCAACATTGACGTTCTGCACCATGACTTGACAGACTACAAAGCAGCAGCCACACACTTTGAGGAATTTTAAAACCAGAAACTGTTGACACTGCATATTCTATTTTTTTTTTTTTTGTCAAATTGTAAGATTCATGTGTATATCTATGACAATAAATGTTATCAAACAGAAGACTGTATGCTTAAAAAGTGGGCAATTTAATTTCCTGTCAAACATTGAATTTCATCTGACAAATGCATTATGCTGCATATGTCTGTCATTTTCCATCATGTCAGCATTATATACCCCGTCTCCATCTAATGATCATGATGATGAACAACTCCTTTACCTGTAACCAGTTTTGAGGATTTTTCTACCCCTGTAAACTTGGCCTGAGGCCATGCTTCCCTGCTGACCCCCTGATCAAAAAGGTTATTTGTTATAGTGGCCTGCAAGCCCACATAGCCATCACAACCTGGCTTATCCAGCAATTAAAAGAGGAAGTTGTTCCTCTTGAAAGCTTCCTTCTTCATTCTGGAAGTACAGCTGATATCTTCCAGCAGTATGTCGACTTTTGGGCCATGGATGTTGATGCAGTATTCTCTAGTTGTATCCCACGCCCCTTCCTCCTCGCTCCTCACTGGGTTTACACTATTAGGTATCTCTCTTCTCCACTTCATAGAGAAAAATCCAAGTGCTTTGAGGCAGTCCCAATAATTCAGAACTTTTATTAACTCTCTTGGAAATATATGACCCCTGTACATTTTCCAGCTCTGCTATCTTTTCCCCCTTGATTGCTGCAGTGATCACAAAATAATATTCAAGTTCCAAGAGTACAAGTAATCTGGAAAAAATACTATCATTGGCATTGCTACTCTTGTTCTGAAAGTTCTCAATATACCTAGTCAATCATTTTCCTGGCCTTGACTGCATTTGCCTTGCTGTATTTTCCAAATGACACTTACTCTGATGATTATTCCTAGGTCCTTTTCACGTTCTTTACACTCTTTGATACGGTCCGTTTGCATTCTGTATACTGTGATTGTTCTTAAGTAATCATTCTTCCCATATCTAAGCATCTGAAATTTGTTACCACTAAATATGTTATTTTAAATAACAAAAAAAAGGCACACTACCGTGACTGGAATGATACACAAATAACCCGCACATGGAAGAGAGGAGCTTACGACGATGTTTCGGTCCGACTTGGACCATTTACAAAGTCACACTGACTTTGTAAATGGTCCAAGTCGGACCAAAAAGTCGTTGTAAGCTCCTCTCTTCTATATGCGGGTTGTGTATCATGTTATTTTCATTTCCCCATTAGAAAATCTGGTTATGTGGCTATAATTTTTCTATCTTCTACTAAGGTGATGTATACTTATTTGGCATCATCATCATGGTTTGTGTTCTTGTCTGTCTGATACGAGGATGAGAAACAGTAATGATACTAGGATTGTGCCTTTGAGTACTGAACCTTTTTTTTTTTTTTGTTCAACAAACAGGTCGTATCCCACAGAGGCAGGGTGACCTAAAAAGTGTACATGCATGTGTAATGTGACCTAAGTGTAAGTAGAAGTAGCAAAATATACCTGTTATCCCACATGTTCATGAGACTGAAAAAAAGATACCAGGAATCCTACCATCATGTAAAACAACTGAACCTTTAATTGTTATAATTTTGCTGTTGTACCAAATGACATCAGTTTATGAACCATTACTTCATGGTTACATTTGTCAAGTGCCTCTCTAAAATCCATGTAGAGTGCATCAGCATTTTGTTTCCATCAAGGCCTCTGTAATTTTTTCATAGTGATCTAATAGTTTTGATAAGCAAGATCTTCCTGCTCTTGTCATGTTTGGGTTGTGTTGATCATACTGTTCCATCAAGTCAGTAACTTACTATCTCAAATCTCTTTCGAAGATATTTACTATGTATGATGTTAGTGCTACTGGTCTGTAGTTTTTTGATCTGGTGTCTCCTCTGCAAAGTCATAGCTAAACACTCACTTTGGACTATCAGAGAACCTGACAGCAATCAAAGACCCTCTTCTTATTTTGCTTCCTCAATGCAAATTTTCTTTTCAATTAGCATGTGATTTTCTTTTTACTGAAATATTTTTTGTTATTTTAAGTCATTTAAACTAATTATGAAAAGTGGCTGAAACATGTTGGAAAAATTCTACATGTGGCCCCTGAAACCCAGATGAGACAAGGCATCAAAGACATATATAGAAATATAGGATATAGATACTGATATGAATAGCATAATATAAAATTCATATAAAAATAAAGTTTCTATTTGAAGTTTTCCTATTCAAAGACATCATTTACAACAAACCTAATGTACTACCACTTCTTTTATATAGAGGAAATGAAAAATACCTTGATATGATAAGGCAAATAAACAAGGCAATGGCACTCGGTTTTGCATACTATATACATAGGAGCTATGTACTTAAAACAGTACACATTAAGAATAAATCTTCAACAATTCGATGACATCACAAAACAATGAACATCCAAAATGCTCAAGTCTTTGGCAAGAGGGATACAGTCATATTTGTATTTAAATGCAGCTCAATCCCTAAAACTGCAACAAGACTGTTCTTCACTCATACTCGATTCATTGTTCTTCACTCATACTCGATTCATTTGCTGAATATTCTTCACCACTCAGTTCAACAAAGCCATAATGACATGACTATTACAGTACATGGAACCAAACAGTAACTACAATCACACACAAACAGCCTTAATGCAAGCCAAGTATTCATCACTAACTTTCAAATTATTGCAACAGTTTTAAAAACATATCAGTACAGTATTATATATGACAATGCTATTCCTTAAATGACTTGATAAAGTTTGACTTCAGATGTTTCACTCTGGAAATCGAAGGGCGCAGTGATGTTTGGGTTATGAGGAGGAACCTCTCGTGCCCATTCTTGATGCCGAAATCCGCACTGAAAGAAAGCGTTATTATACTGTATATCACATATTTTATTCTTAGGCAACTAACATGCTGAGAACAAGGGGCTAGTAACCCCTTCTGTATACATTACTAAAGTTAAAAAGATAAACTTTTGTTTTTCTTTTTGGGCCACCCTGCCTCAATGGGATACGGCCAGTTTGTTGAAAGAAGATTTTATTCTTATTTATGATTAAGCTGTTAAATCTCTTAAAAAGTCAAATTAATGTTGTGCTAAGATTTTGCAATTTCAATATAGCTTTCACCTTATTTTTCCTAGTATAAAACCTTACCAGCCCTTAGCTTGTGAATTAAAATAAAGCACCCATTACACTGAAGAAATATTATATAAACTTTTTATTTAAATTTCTTTATTATGGACTAGATAACATGTAAGGGGGGTAACCATTATTTTGAAAATGATTAGTTATATTGTTCAATTTCAAATCAAAAGTTAATCCAATTGGAAGAAAGAAGAAATCCTTGATGAATTTGTGCTTTAATGGCATTAACATTAAACAGATTTGGAACAAAGGATAAATAGTTTCAGCCTAGACCATTTATCCTTAGTTCCAAATCTGTTTAAATTTAATGTCATCAGAGTTGAACATCAAAATGGTATACAATACCGACAGGTTGTTAGGTAAGACACATATGCAACAGTTAGACAACTTTATTCCGAAACGTTTCGCCTACACAGTAGGCTTCTTCAGTCGAATACAGAAAGTAAGCAGGAACAGTAGAGATGTGAAGACGATGTAATCAGTCCATCACCCTTAAAGTCGTAGAATTTGAGGTTGTCAGTCCCTCGGCCTGGAGAAGTTCAGTTCTACGACTTTAAGGGTGATGGACTGATTACATCGTCTTCACATCTCTACTGTTCCTGCTTACTTTCTGTATTCGACTGAAGAAGCCTACTGTGTAGGCGAAACGTTTCGGAATAAAGTTGTCTAACTGTTGCATATGTGTCTTACCTAACAACCTGTCGGTATTGTATACCATTTTGATGTTCATCTTGTCAGACACTGCAACACGTGGCATCTTGATACAGAAAACACCTTGGACAAGCTTTTCAAGTGAGAAGGGTTGGATCTGAGAGGGACATGACCTCTCAGTTGCCTCTCACTACTACTACTACTACTACTACTACTACTACTACTACCCTGCACCTCTCCTTCCGACAGTATTTAAGTCTCCGCACTGTCGCTTGATCTTCAGATAGTTCCTGACTATGGAACTGAACTTCTCCAGGCCGAGGGACTGACAACCTCAAATTCTACGACTTTAAGGGTGATGGACTGATTACATCGTCTTCACATCTCTACTGTTCCTGCTTACTTTCTGTATTCGACTGAAGAAGCCTACTGTGTAGGCGAAACGTTTCGGAATAAAGTTGTCTAACTGTTGCATATGTGTCTTACCTAACAACCTGTCGGTATTGTATACCATTTTGATGTTCATCTTGTCAGACACTGCAACACGTGGCATCTTGATACAGAAAACACCTTGGACAAGCTTTTCAAGTGAGAAGGGTTGGATCTGAGAGGGACATGACCTCTCAGTTGCCTCTCACTACTACTACTACTACTACTACTACCCTGCACCTCTCCTTCCGACAGTATTTAAGTCTCCGCACTGTCGCTTGATCTTCAGATAGTTCCTGACTATGGAACTGAACTTCTCCAGGCCGAGGGACTGACAACCTCAAATTCTACGACTTTAAGGGTGATGGACTGATTACATCGTCTTCACATCTCTACTGTTCCTGCTTACTTTCTGTATTCGACTGAAGAAGCCTACTGTGTAGGCGAAACGTTTCGGAATAAAGTTGTCTAACTGTTGCATATGTGTCTTACCTAACAATGTCATCAGAGTTCTAGTTCATCAAGGATTTCTACTTTCTTTCAATTAGATTGATTTGGAACTGAACAAAATAACTTAATTTTTTTAAAAAATAATGATTCCCCTTTATATATTATTGAGTCTGTAAGCATGCCTCTGGCAAGACAATGATGGAGTGAATGATAATGAAAGTTTTTCTTTCTCGGGCCACCCTGCCTTGGTAGGAAACGGCCGATATGTTAATAAATAATAAAGAAATATGGGGGTTATGTTCCAACGAACCAATCATAAGTCAAAAATATCTTAAGTAGAACATGAATGTGAAATACTGAATAATTAAGTAAGTAAATAACTACGTAATGTCACTGAATAAGTAAATAAACAAATTACTGTAACTAACTAAATATTAGTATCAATAAGTAAATAAATTAATACAATTTATGAACTGGCCACCTTCATGTTGGGTAATTATCTTAAATTTTATCACCAAAGTAATTGCTTTTGCACCATCATGAAGTGGAAATATCGTAAGCCAGACCATTGTAAGTAACATCTGTATTACCATAAAATTATTTTAACTTCAACTAGTAAACATTTTAAAAACAAGAGTTCCTTACATCTATATACTGCAGTGAATCTTCCAAGGAAGGTATGGTTACTAGCAGAGCACCCTTTTTCACATTAGATCGAAGAAATGCCCAAATACGTGCTTGAACACCAGCAGGCATAAAGAACTCAAAGACATTATTGAGGCAAATTATATCAGCAGCTCGTACTACTTCTCCTTGCTCCTGAATATCGCCAGGGATCACTTGAACACGATCCTGAAATACAGAGTTAAGAGGAAATTTTTCTATTAATTCTAGTTCAGTGCAAGCTAGTCGTATTTACAGGAGAAATGACGGACAATAATTTCCTGCATGCAAAACTACCATATTTATCTAACGACAAGGCTTGTGGAAAATCCAGCTGCAGCAATGATATAAAAAAAATTAAAGGATTTCTTCATGGAACATTTTTTTCCGTGTGTGCACATGTATGCGTACATATCTAAATGTGTTTGTAGGAAGCAGGCTCCAGCTCATGGACCCAGCATCACAAGCATTAATCAATAGGTACAAAAACTCCCAAAATAAATGAATATATATTTTTTAACTTAATGGTGGTAATCTGAACTGTGATATCAGCACACTTCTGGCAACACAACTATTGAATGAATGATAGTAAACATATTTCCTCTTTTGGGTCACCCTGCTTTGGTGACCATTCAATAATTATTTGCAAATCCAAAATGTTTTCCTCAGTCTCCTACATTCTTCCATTTTGTCTTTTATACTCTCATTTATCTTTTGTATTTGAATACACCTGCTGATCAAACATTACCTTTCCTTTCACTCTTGTTGAACAGAAGCACATGCTAATTACTGTACTTGTTATACAGGACAGCAAAATGAATATACAAAATTCAATTAATGCTTAAGTGCTTCTTTAAGTTTTAACAATGGGTAACATTCTATTTTATTATCCCATGAAGTAAAGTTCCATAAATATAAAAGATAGGAAAGATGGAAAGATTATAACATGTGCTATGACAAGCATTATTCACCAAGCTGGATTTTAGTTATGTTGTAGAGAGATTTCATTGATTATAATAATAATAATAATAATAATATCCTAGGCACATTTTCATATACCATGGTCTGTTCTTCAGCTAAAACTGAACACATACCTGAAACTGATATTTATTGATGATTGTTTGCTGAACTTGGCATAAATCTTGATTTATTTCCACTCCCACTATTCTCCGGCATTTTGTGTAAATGTAAGCCTGTAAAAAATGAAGGATTTTAATTGTATTATCTCTTCATACATGAAAAGAACAAGATTATGTTTTTTACAAATCTACTGCTGCCACTTATATTTAATGTACATAATAAAAATTACAGACTTGAAATCTTAAGAAAAATGTAGAGAAAGTTTAAAAGTGATCTTAGAAGCCAGGTAATTCAAAATAAAATTTTGCTAAAAATTTAATGGTCTTATTAGTAATATAATAAGTTAAAGAAAAAATCATAATATTATCAACTGATTTTTTAAATGCATTTAGATCTATTCTCTTTAGATAATGAACCCCAAAAATATTATCAAAGAGAAAGTTAAGGAGGTGCTTTGAGAATACATAATGAAAATACAGTACAGTTGTACTACAGAAAATGTCAAATGAATGTACAGTCTATGTAATATCACAGTATAAAAATAAGAGTTCTTGATACTAAGGTGAATAAATGATGACTGGAGTTTGGAGCTTTGCCAGGCTCCCAGGCAAGTTACCCTGACGACGAGGAGGAGGAGGCCCTATAAAGAGTGCAAGATATGTGATCAACCCTACTGGAACCAGAAAGCTGATGTGCATGTGGCATCATGAATTCCAAGTGGGCCCATCCAGGCTCCAACTTAAGAAATATGTTTAAAAAATTATATAACATTTCAAAGAAATTTTTTAATTTTTATTTTTTTTTTATTATCACACCGGCCGATTCCCACCAAGGCAGGGTGGCCCGAAAAAGAAAAACTTTCACCATCATTCACTCCATCACTGTCTTGCCAGAAGGGTGCTTTACACTACAGTTTTTAAACTGCAACATTAACACCCCTCCTTCAGAGTGCAGGCACTGTACTTCCCATCTCCAGGACTCAAGTCCGGCCTGCCGGTTTCCCTGAATCCCTTCATAAATGTTACTTTGCTCACACTCCAACAGCACGTCAAGTATTAAAAGCCATTTGTCTCCATTCACTCCCTATCAAACACGCTCACGCATGCCTGCTGGAAGTCCAAGCCCCTCGCACACAAAACCTCCTTTACCCCCTCCCTCCAACCCTTCCTAGGCCGACCCCTACCCCGCCTTCCTTCCACTACAAGACTGATACACTCTTGAAGTCATTCTGTTTCGCTCCATTCTCTCTACAATGTCCGAACCACCTCAACAACCCTTCCTCAGCCCTCTGGACAACAGTTTTGGTAATCCCGCACCTCCTCCCTAACTTCCAAACTACAATTCTCTGCATTATATTCACACCACACATTGCCCTCAGACATGACATCTCCACTGCCTCCAGCCTTCTCCTCGCTGCAACATTCATCACCCACGCTTCACACCCATATAAGGGGCTTTTGGTAAAACTATACTTTTCATACATTCCCCTCTTTGCCTCCAAGGACAAAGTTCTTTGTCTCCACAGACTCCTAAGTGCACCACTCACTCTTTTCCCTCATCAATTCTATGATTCCCTCATCTTTCATAGACCCATCTGCTGACACGTCCACTCCCAAATATCTGAATACGTTCACCTCCTCCATACTCTCTCCCTCCAATCTGATATTCAATCTTTCATCACCTAATCTTTTTGTTATCCTCATAACCTTACTCTTTCCTGTATTCACCTTTAATTTTCTTCTTTTGCACACCCTACCAAATTCATCCACCAATCTCTGCAACTTCTCTTCAGAATCTCCCAAGAGCACAGTGTCATCAGCAAAGAGCAGCTGTGACAACTCCCACTTTGTGTGTGATTCTTTATCTTTTAACTCCACGCCTCTTGCCAAGACCCTCGCATTTACTTCTCTTACAAAACCCCCTCTATAAATATATTAAACAACCACGGTGACATCACACATCCTTGTCTAAGGCCTACTTTTACTGGGAAAAAATTTCCCTCTTTCCTACATACTCTAACTTGAGCCTCACTATCCTCGTAAAAACTCTTCACTGCTTTCAGTAACCTACCTCCTACACCATACACTTGCAACATCTGCCACATTTCCCCCCTATCCACCCTGTCATACGCCTTTTCCAAATCCATAAATGCCACAAAGACCTCTTTAGCCTTATCTAAATACTGTTCACTTATATGTTTCACTGTAAACACCTGGTCCACACACCCCCTACCTTTCCTAAAGCCTCCTTGTTCATCTGCTATCCTATTCTCCGTCTTACTCTTAATTCTTTCAATTATAACTCTACCATACACTTTACCAGGTACACTCAACAGACTTATCCCCTATAATTTTTGCACTCTCTTTTATCCCCTTTGCCTTTATACAAAGGAACTATGCATGCTCTCTGCCAATCCCTAGGTACCTTACCTTCTTCCATACATTTATTAAATAATTGCACCAACCACTCCAAAACTATATCCCCACCTGCTTTTAACATTTCTATCTTTATCCCATCAATCCCGGCTGCCTTACCCCCTTTCATTTTACCTACTGCCTCACGAACTTCCCCCACACTCACAACTGGCTCTTCCTCACTCCTACAAGATGTTATTCCTCCTTGCCCTATACACGAAATCACAGCTTCCCTATCTTCATCAACATTTAACAATTCCTCAAAATATTCCTTCCATCTTCCCAATACCTCTAACTCTCCATTTAATAACTCTCCTCTCCTATTTTTAACTGACAAATCCATTTGTTCTCTAGGCTTTCTTAACTTGTTAATCTCACTCCAAAACTTTTTCTTATTTTCAACAAAATTTGTTGATAACATCTCACCCACTCTCTCATTTGCTCTCTTTTTACATTGCTTCACCACTCTCTTAACTTCTCTCTTTTTCTCCATATACTCTTCCCTCCTTGCATCACTTCTACTTTGTAAAAACTTCTCATATGCTAACTTTTTCTCCCTTACTACTCTCTTTACATCATCATTCCACCAATCGCTCCTCTTCCCTCCTGCACCCACTTTCCTGTAACCACAAACTTCTGCTGAACACTCTAACACTACATTTTTAAACCTACCCCATACCTCTTCGACCCCATTGCCTATGCTCTCATTAGCCCATCTATCCTCCAATAGCTGTTTATATCTTGCCCTAACTGCCTCCTCTTTTAGTTTATAAACCTTCACCTCTCTCTTCCCTGATGCTTCTATTCTCCTTGTATCCCATTCACCTTTTACCTCTCAGTGTAGCTACAACTAGAAAGTGATCTGATATATCTGTGGCCCCTCTATAAACATGTACATCCTGAAGTCTACTCAACAGTCTTTTATCTACCAATACATAATCCAACAAACTACTGTCATTTCGCCCTACATCATATCGTGTTATACTTATTTATCCTCTTTTTCTTAAAATATGTATTACCTATAACTAAACCCCTTTCTATACAAAGTTCAATCAAAGGGCTCCCATTATCATTTACAACCTGGCACCCCCAAACTTACCTACCACACCCTCTCTAAAAGTTTCTCCTACTTTAGCATTCAAGTCCCCTACCACAATTACTCTCTCACTTGGTTTCAAAGGCTCCTATACATTCACTTAACATCTCCCAAAATCTCTCTCTCTCCTCTGCATTCCTCTCTCTCCAGGTGCATACACGCTTATTAATGACACCACTTCTCGCATCCAACCTTACTTTAATCCACATAATTCTTGAATTTACACATTCATATTCTCTTTTCTCCTTCCATAACTGATCATTTAACATTACTGCTACCCTTCCTTTGCTCTAACTCTCTCAGATACTCCAGATTTAATCCCATTTATTTCCCCCCACTGAAACTCTCCTACCCCCTTCAGCTTTGTTTTCGCTTAGGGCCAGGACATCCAACTTCTTTTCATTCATAACATCAGCAATCATCTGTTTCTTGTCATCCGCACTACATCCACGCACATTTAAGCAACCCAGTTTTTAAAGTTTTTCTTCTTCTCTTTTTTAGTAATTGTATACAGGAGAAGGGGTTACTAAGCCCATGCTCCCGGCATTTTAGTCGCCTCAATACGACACGCATGGCTTACGAGGAAAAGATTCTTTTCCCACTTCCCCATGGACAATAGAAGAAATAAAAAAGAACAAGAGCTATTTAGAAAAAGGAGAAAAACCTAGATGTATGTATATATATATATGCATGTGCGTGTCTGTGAAGTGTGACCAAAGTGTAAGTAGGAGTAGCAAGATATCCCTGTTATCTTAGCGTGTTTATGAGACAGAAAGAGAGACCAGCAATCCTACCATCATGCAAAACAGTTACAGGTTTTTGTTTCACAGTCATCTGGCAGGACGGTAGTACTTCCCTGGGTGGTTGCTGTCTACCAACCTATATACGTATATAGTAGTGGTGTGCCAAAGTATCAGTATTGGTACTGGTGGGTAGTGGATAATTTTGATATCTGTATCAGTGGGTATCAGCCAATTTTGATTGTATCGATATCAGTACTAGCATCAATGAGTAGCAGCTAGCTTTGATGGTATTGCTATGAGCATTAGTCTAAAACTGAGTAGAGTATTAGTATCAGCATAAAATTTGTTATCACCCCATCCCTAAACTACATCTTTCTTTCAACACACCGGCCGTATCCCACCGAGGCAGGGTGGCCCAAAAGAAAAACGAAAGTTTCTCCTTTTACATTTAGTAATATATACAGGAGAGGGGGTTACTAGCCCCTTGCTCCTGGCATTTTAGTCACCTCTTACAACACGCATGGCTTATGGAGGAAGAATTCTGTTCCACTTCCCCATGGAGGTAAGAGGAAATAAACAAGAACAAGAACTAGAAAGAAAATAAAAGAAAACCCAGAGGGATGCGTGTATATATGCTTGTACATGTATGTGTAGTGTGACCTAAGTGTAAGTAGAAGTAGCAAGATGTACCTGAAATCTTGCATGTGTATGAGACAGAATAAGAAGACACCAGCAATCCTACCATCGTGTAAAACAATTACATGTACAGGCTTCCGTTTTACACTCACTTGGCAGGACGGCAGTACCTCCCTGGGCGGTTGCTGTTTACCAACCTACATATCAACACCAAATTTATTTGTGTTTTTCTTATTAAAAGTAGCTGTAACAGATTACACAACAAACAACATGCAGTATAAAGAAAGACCTATGCTCTAAAGTTGAGAAGAAACTCAATACAGTGAAGAACCTCAAACCAGCGGTTCGGTGGTCCCTAAGGCTGTGAGATCATGGGTTCGAGGCTCATTATTTCACTGAATTGTTACATTTATAAGAAATTTTCAGCAAACTAAAAAGAAAACTTAATCTATATCCACATCTTTTCATGGAAAAAACCATAGTTGTCCTGTATACAGATCTGCAATTAAATAAAAATTCTAAATACAGGTCTTATGCTTCGTAATTTTAATTTTTAAATGTATGATACTGCATAATTTAATTATTTAAAAAGTAAAAAAAAAAAAAAAAGTCAATAAAAACAAAAGGACTACATTTTCACATCCATTATCAAGTGAATGGTTAGTGAATATCTGTCTCAGAAAATTTAGCAAATTTTTGGGAATTTCATATTTTAATAGCAAACTGTAGTAATGAAAACAAGTCACTGAAAGCAATTTTTGATAATCCCCGATGATTATAACAGCTCAAGTAGGTGGCTGTTATAGGTACTGGAAACATACAATAAATCACTACCATCTGTTTTGTAATGCAACCTCCCTCCCCATCATATTTTATTGGCTCCACCTTTCCAAGATAACTCAATGACGCAGCAGTTGTATGCCACATTCATTTTTAGGATATGTAAAACAAGATATAACTTACTTACCCCATACAGTACTGCTCCTAATCTTGACCCAATGTCAAGTAGTATAGTGTCTTCAGGAATAGGTGGAAGTAATGCACGGAAAATATAAGCTAATCTTTCTCTTGATGCAGAGTGACTGATATATGCTGCAATGAGACAATAAACATTACTAATCTTGTATACTGCAAATAAAGGAACAAAAAAATATGCAGTCACCAATATAGCCAAGAAAAGTGTAAACAATTCTAATCAGATAAAAGTACAGTAATACTGACCCCTACATCATTTAGGAGAGTGAAAAAACAGGCCAAGTGATATAGTCCAAGACAGACTACAAAGAGTTACAGTTCATTGTGTGTGTTTCATTATATACCTTTCTACAAAAACAGTTGGTACTTAGCAACAGGAAATAAAATGCCAACTTATCAAAACATTTCACTGTCCACATACTGTACACCAGGGGTGACCAACCTTTTTGTTCCAATGAGCCACAAAAATTTGTAAGGGGCCTCACTTCTAAAGTGAAGTGCAAATGTAGGTATTTAATGCCTGACATTTTACCCAATCATCAAGTGAAAATTGACCACAATACTAACCTTTCACTATCTTATACATAGATCTACGTCACTGATGCCAGTGTCACTTATGCAAATCTATGCTTTATGCAGAGCTCCCTCAAATATTTTCTTCTTTCAACAAACCGACCATATCCCACTGAAGCAGGGTGACCCAAAAATAAAAACAAAAGTTTCTCTTTTTAATTTTAGTAATGCATACAGGAGAGGGGGCTACTAGCCCCTTGCTCCCAGCAATTTAGTTGCCTCTTACGACACACATGGCTTACGGAGGAAGAATTCTGTTCCACCTCCCCATGGAGATAAAAGGAAATAAACAAGAACAAGAACTAGTAAGAAAATAGAAGAAAACCCAGAGAGGTGTGTGTATATACATGCTTGTACATGCATGCGTAGTGTGACCTAAGTGTAAGTACAAGTAGCAAGACGTACCTGAAATCTTGCATGTTTATGAGACAGAAAAAAGACACCAGCAATCCTACCAGCATGTAAAACAATTACAGGCTTTCATTTTACACTCACCTGGCAGGACGGTAGTACCTCCCTGGGCGGTTGCTATCTACCAACCTACTACCTAGGCTTCAAATATGTTATGAGTGGTAAATTTTGTCCTAGATAAGAGAATGAGTTTTTGTGGCAAGTGTATTGTACATGATTAACAAACAGAGGAAAGGTTACTTTAGTGCCTGGAATGCCTACAATGTTTATTTTAGATGCTTTTTTTTACCTAGATTTTTGTGTAAAATTGGCCAAATTACCTACTTCTGTGAACATTACAGGGTAGTTCCAAAAAGTGAATGGGCAGTTTCTTGTGCTCAGTTGACAGAACAGAAGGTATACTAGCAAAATAGCTTAGAACTGGGCTGAATTGAATATTCAGGTCACCCTGCCTCAGTGGGAGAGAGCCAATATGTTAAAAAGTAAGATATCAATTTTTGTTCAACTTACTAATGGGTTGCGTATTGTGTGATGAACAGTCAACACAGTAGTTTCGAGCCAACTCTCCAGTGTCGCACAGCTCATCTACCATATCCTCGTCATAAAGAAAGGCATCAACATGAAGGGTATGAGTTGGGTCACAATCTGCATTCTGAAACATATAATTAGTAATATAGACAAAGTGCTTTTTAACTACAGTAATCACAATGGCCAATAGTTATTTATATATTTTGTATCATGTTCCAAGTTCAGTACAGTGAAATACCAATTTTTAACTAAGTGACAGGAGAGGGGTGTCTGTTAAAGCTGTCTGTTAAATGACGAGATGGGTTTTCCACGATAGTAACAACAGACAATTCTGAATTTAATGGACTGTGTCCATTGTTTCCAGACACTGTCTGGCCACAAATTTTGTCCACTAAATTCAAAATCTCTTAACTCAAACTTTTACTGTCTTTACATTATAGCAGTCAGGAAGAGAGAAGATAACACTCCATTCTACCCAAAGTAAGTTTGATGCATACATATTATGGTAATACACCTACCATCCGACTTACGACCTGCTCGGCTTACGACCACTCGACTTACGACCGTGTTTTTTATGCCAAATTTCTGGGAAATAAACAACTATTTGTGTTGTACACAGTGTTTATCCTAAACCTTACAGTATAAAATACAGTACTAACAACATAAAAAGTAAAGTAAAACATGAAATACCAAAATAAAACAGTAAAATAAAGTCATTACAAAAATGTTTTGTTGATATTCAGTACTAAAGTTCGACTTACGACCATTTCGACTTACGACCGGTTTCTCGGAACCGAACTCGGTCGTAAGTTGGATGGTAGGTGTATATATCACTGCACTGCAATATACATACAAGAATGTTGTGTTTAATTTGTGGGTCAGTTTGACTATGATGAACAAAAGATTAAATTTCCTTAGTCCACTGCTATTAATGCAGTTTCCCTTCACTGAATATGTAACTAGATGTGCTTTAGCCATATATTGTATACAGATGTATGTGGCACTGTCATTGTACAAAATAAAAATTATTGGATTTCTAAAGCACTCTGACATACAAGATCACTCAGTTTATTTTTGACAATAAAAAGATAAATGAGCAATGGGCCAGTAACCCTTTCTCCTGTATAAATTACTAAATTTAAAAAGAAAACTTTTTGCTTTTCTTTTTAGGTCACTCTGCCTTGGTGGGATACGGCCAGTTCATTGAAACAAAAAAACATAGATAAATGCAATACACACTAACAATCACAAGCCAAAACTATATACTTTCTTTCAACACACCGGCTGTATCCCACCAAGGCAAGGTGGCCCAAAAAGAAAAACGAAAGTTTCTCTTAAATTTAGTAATTTACATCTACATTTTTTTTTTTTTTTATTATCACACTGGCCGATTCCCACCAAGGCAGGGTGGCCCGAAAAAGAAAAACTTTCACCATCATTCACTCCATCACTGTCTTGCCAGAAGGGTGCTTTACACTACAGTTTTTAAACTGCAACATTAACACCCCTCCTTCAGAGTGCAGGCACTGTACTTCCCATCTCCAGGACTCAAGTCCGGCCTGCCGATTTCCCTGAATCCCTTCATAAATGTTACTTTGCTCACACTCCAACAGCACGTCAAGTATTAAAAACCATTTGTCTCCATTCACTCCTATCAAACATGCTCACGCATGCCTGCTGGAAGTCCAAGCCCTCGCACACAAAACCTCCTTTTACCCCTCCCTCCAACCCTTCCTAGCCGACCCCTACCCCGCCTTCCTTCCACTACAGACTGATACACTCTTGAAGTTATTCTGTTTCGCTCCATTCTCTCTACATGTCCGAACCACCTCAACAACCCTTCCTCAGCCCTCTGGACAACAGTTTTGGTAACCCCCGCACCTCCTCCTAACTTCCAAATTACGAATTCTCTGCATTATATTCACACCACACATTGCCCTCAGACATGACATCTCCACTGCCTCCAGCCTTCTCCTCGCTGCAACATTCATCACCCATGCTTCACACCCATATAAGAGCGTTGGTAAAACTATACTCTCATACATTCCCCTCTTTGCCTCCAAGGACAAAGTTCTCTGTCCCCCACAGACACCTAAGTGCACCACTCACTCTTTTTCCCTCATCAATTCTATGATTCACCTCATCTTTCATAGACCCATCCGCTGACACGTCCACTCCCAAATATCTGAATACGTTCACCTCCTCCATACTCTCTCCCTCCAATCTGATATTCAATCTTTCATCACCTAATCTTTTTGTTATCCTCATAACCTTACTCTTTCCTGTATTCACCTTTAATTTTCTTCTTTTGCACACCCTACCAAATTCATCCACCAATCTCTGCAGCTTCTCTTCAGAATCTCCCAAGAGCACAGTGTCATCAGCAAAGAGCAGCTGTGACAACTCCCACCCAAATACAATCAAACAAAGCACACAACAAAATACATACTAACACTAGTTAAAATTACCTGAATCAATTCAGAGCTCCATTAACTTGTTAATTTCAAAAGACTTCTAAACTTTCCAGGTAATTATGTTGTAAACAATATATAAACTCATTGGTTGTTAAATGAGCATAAGCCAGTTGTTAGGAGGGAAAATAGTAATATAGTAGGTTATTTTGGTCATTATTAAAAATTATATGAACACTCCAGCTGCCTCCCACTGAGGTAGGGTGACCTGCCAAAGAAATGAACATTTTCACTGTCACTCTTTCAATCAATGTCTTGCCAGAAGTGCACTGACATTACAGTTCAGACAACTCTCCAAACTGTATCACCTCCAACATCTTCCCATCTCCAGGACTCAAGTTAAGCTAACTGGTTTCCCTGATTCCTATCATAAATGTTACCTTGCTAACATTCCATCAAATCATAAAAACTATTGCCTCCACACAGTCCTATCTAACACATTCATACAAGCCTGATGAATGTTCAAGCCCCTAGCACTCAAAACCTCCTTTATTCCCACCCTTCAGCCTTCCCTAGGATGACCTCTACCCCTTCACACCAGATTCATACGCCCTTCTAGTCATCCTATTTTTCTCCATCCCCTCTAAATGTCCAAACCACCTCAACAACCCCTTCTCAGTCCCATGTATAACATGTTTGGTAACTCCACACCTAATTGCCAAACTCCAAATTCGCTGCATAACATTTCCATCACACATTGCCCTCAAACACACAATCTCAACTACCTCCAGCCTCCTCCTTGCTGGAACATTCAAAACCCATACTTCACACCCATACAACAGTACCACTATATTCTGGTACATTTCCCTTATCTCACAGAATAATCCACCAATAAATCTGCTCCCATATATCTGAACACATTTACTTCCTCTACACTCCCCAATATTCTATCACTCACTCACTATATTTTGTGATACTCTTATCACCTTGCTCCTTCCTGTGTTCACTTTCAATTTCCTTCTTTTACATACCTTCCTAAATTCATTTACCAACCTTTGCAACTTCTGAATTTCCCAAAAGAACTGTGTCATCTGCAAAGAGCAACTGTGATAACTCTCACTCTGTACCAAATTCACTGTCTTTCAATTTCCCTTATCTCCCCAACATCCTAGTTATCACTTCTTTTACAGTTCTATCTATACATATGTTAAAACAACCATGGTGACCTCACATGTCCCTGTCTAAGGCCTACTTTTACTGGAAATAATCCCCCTCTATCCTACATACCCTAACCTGCACCTTGCTATCCACTCCTACATACCCTAACCTACACCTTGCTATCCACTCCTACATACCTTAACCTGCACCTTGCTATCCACTCCTACATAACCTAACCTGCACTTTGCTATCCACTCATACATACCCTAACCTGCACCATGTTATCCACTCCTACATACCCTAACCTGCACCATGTTATCCACTCCTACATACCCTAACCTGCACCATGTTATCCACTCCTACATACCCTAACCTGCACCTTGCTATCCACTCCTACATACCCTAACCTGCACCTTGCTATCCACACGAAAACTCTTTACTGCTTTTATTAAATTTACTTTTGACTTATTCCCATATCCTTTACCGTAAGTGTTGCAATCCAAATATGCAATTGTATGTACTGTATATTTCAGCCTAAAACCAAGGCCTGAAAAAAAAAGGCCTCAGTTAAGTCGAAAATAAATAGTACTCTTTATTTTCTGCTTCATTTTCTCCATATAAGTTCACCTCCATTATGTATGGTATTCTTTACAAAACACCCTGTAAGACAAAATAATGCTAATTTTTGCTAGACTAAGGTAATTTAAAAACAAAGCAAGTTGCATCTTATCTATAGCAGTTGAGGATTTTTCAGTCTGTGGTCCTCACTTTCACTAAGTTACTCTCTTTACTTCTTCAACCACCTCCAGATGTAAGGAAACAAAAGCCAAATGTTCAGTTTTACTGTACCTCTCCTACAGACGGGAAGGTGATCTGTTCAGTTGGTAAAATGGCATTAAGTGGCATGATTTCACGCAGGTCATCAGCAATCTTGCGTAATTTGGTGTCTCCTGAACTGTAATCTGAGGTACACGCTGGTGCCAACGGTGGAGGTGGACATGGTGGGGGACATACCATCAAGGTAGGGGGCACTGTGAAGAAATAAAACTATGCAGAAATAAAAAAAATAATAAAATTTGGATGCAGGTGAATGTACATTTACTAACATAAAAATGCAATATAAAATGCAAAACTATTGACAGCAAAACCAAAATATAGGCAAGCCACGATTAACAAATGTTCAGTGAATGATTTTTAATAAAAAGTACTTTATTATACTACACTGAAAAACTGTAAGAAATACATTAGCTATGATAGATACTCTTCGATCTGATGCATATATGATAACTGTCGTAATTCATCTGACCAGAAGTGGCTCATTTGTGCCATGTATGTGAGTAAATGAACATGGTGAGGCCAGCACACAGGGTAATGATGGAGGAAAGTAGTGTACACTTCCTTTCTGATCAATGTCTGTTGTTTAAAATACCAAGAAGGGAAGTTTCAGCATTTATAGAGCACTCGGACCAAAAAATAATCCAGTGGTCCATAGCCGAAAAGATTCCATACTTGAACATATACACATGAACCACTCTCAAGTTATCTCACAAAAGTAAAATCTATTCAGATATGCTAACAATCCCCCAAAAATAAGAAATACTATCAGATTAGGTTAAAATATTCTGCATATGATTTAAAAAAAAAATTGGTAATACAGTATTAACCCTTAAATTGCCGAAGGGCCTAAAATAAACATATCCTTAGTGCCGGCAATTTTCAAATACAGTGTAAACAAAAAAATATTTTATCTTACCAAAAAATTCTCCATGATTTTAGAAGTGTTTATAAGACTGGATGAGTGAAATCAGATTATTTACAGAGATATGAAGATATGAAGATGATGCTGGTGATCATTTTACGACAACATAAGTGGTTACCACATGGAGGAAGTTACTGCATTAACAATTTTTACGACTTTTTCAGTTTTTCTAATTATTTTTGTGATCATATGTTTTACATCTATATCTAGGTTTTCACATCATATTTCACTTCCAGTTATTTTTCAATCGTACTAAACAAATGTAAACATTAAAGACATGCAAAAAAACGTAAATGGAATTTACTGGCGCTCTCAATGCCCTGCACACAATTTCTTTTTATTCTGTGTCCTAACTGGTTGATCAACTTGGCTGTGATAGATATATGGGGCAGCAGACCACCAGCAGCAACAGCCTGGTTAACCAGGCAAACAGCAGAAAACTCAGAACTCATCAAAGGTATATCAAGGGTAAAGGTGCTAGAATTAAGGCATACATGTGTATCTACATCATCTCCATTTTCCTGGTTAGCACAAATTTAGGTCATTCGGCACCTTGTAACTCCGTAAGTTTCCATCAAATTTCGTATTTTTGGTGTCATTACCTTCAAAAAAACGAATGCTATTTCAGAAGAAAAAATGAATATATTTTTCAAAAATCCTAACATTGTCAGCACTTTTAAATTTGGGGTTTGACAGTGAGAGGGTTAAATGTTATGATCAGTGCATATATGTAAGAAAAATAAATACTAATTACATCACATTGTTTTATTTTCAGTTTATTTTTAACAGGTGTATATTTATATTGGATAATGGCATCAATATACCAAATTGAAGAAGAATACCATAAGCCATTTAGGAGATATTAAAGTATCAATTTGGCATAATCTGAATTTGTTTTTGTGCTCTTTTCAGACCAATTGGAACATAATGGGGGTAAAAAAAAAAAAGGTGTAGCAAATTTGATGAAGATTTGCCATTTTATTAACTCTCCAGAAAGGTAAATCCTTAAATTTTGGTTGTTATATTAGCAAATAGAGGGGTTGTTTACGTGGTGTGGTCATTTAGAAAGGATGGAACAAAGTAGAATGACTTGGAGAGCCTATAAATCTGTAGGGAAAGGAAGGTGGGGTAGGGGTCGTCCTCAAAAAGGTTGAAGGGAGGGCATAAAGGTGGTTGGACTTCCAGCAAGCCTGCGTGAGCGTGTTAGATAGGAGTGAATGGAGATGAATGGTTTTTGGGACCTGACGAGCTGCTGGAGTGTGAGCAAGGTAATATTTTGTGAAGGGACTCGGAAACAATTGTTGCCGTTGCACCAATGGTGAGAGAAGCGACTCACAGTGCTGAGGTCCAGGGAATAAATTGATTAGCTGGACTTGAGTCCTGGACATGGGAAGTACAGTGGTACCTTGATTTACGAGTTTAATTCATTCCATGACCAAGCTCGTAACTCAATCTGCTCGTATATCAAGTCAATTTTTCTCACTGAAATTAACTAAAATGCCATTAATCCATTCCATCCCCCAAAAAACCACCCCAATTTCTTTGTTATGGGTTTTTAAAAAGATAAGCAGAGGAGTTTTCTGGGCACTTCCTTTCAATAAACTCTGAAACTCTCTCCAAGATTTCCAACATTTCTGGTGTTATAGCCTTTATCGACTCCTTCTGCTTTAGTATGGTACATATCGTGGAAGTACTACGCTCATACTGCCTTGCCAAGTTGACTACCCTCCCCACCTTGCTCGTGTTTTTCTATGATTTCATGCTTTAATACAATGGACATCATCCTCCTCTTCTTCTTAGCACTGTCCTTTGCACTTACTTTCTTAGGCCCCATGGTTAGAAAAAAAGAAATTTGGCAAAATAACCGCACAAAAAGTACATAACACAAGCACAACACAAGAGAGATGCTTCCACAGAGAGGTAACCACGTGAACTGAACGAGTGAGACGCAGGATGCTGGGTGGATGTTGTGGTGTTCGCTGCACCAACCAGTGGCGGCATAACTGTAGCTTGCTCGTAACTCAGATTTTGGCTTGCAACTAAAAGCAAAAAATCGACTGAGTGATGGCTTGTAACTCGGAAAACTCGTAACTTGAGGCACTCGTAAGTCAAGGTACCACTGTACAATGCCTGCACTTTAATGGAGGGGTTTGGGATTATTATTATAATCAAAAAGAAGCGCTAAGCCACAAGGGCTATACAGCAGGGGTTTGGGATATTGGCAGTTTGGAGGGACATCTAAACTGTCACATCTGAGCGCCTCTGCAAAGAGATCTGACAAATATACGAGTGGGATGGGCTTGGTTTGATTGGTGTCGTGGGTATGAGAGTTAATTCTTGAGTAGTTTTGGGTAGGGATGGTTTTGATAAGGACCTGCCTTGTATGGGCCAATAGGCCTTCTGCAGTGTTCCTCCATTCTTATGTTCTTATGACAGTGATTATGTATGAGTGATGGTGAAAGTATTGAATGATGATGAAAGTTATTTCTTTCTTTTTGGGTCACCCTGCCTCAGTGGGAAATGGCCAAAGTGTTAAAATAGAAAATAGGAAACTATACAGCCCAATAACAATTCTAACTTTTAATTTACTATGATACAGAAGCACTGATGGGAGAAAAGGTCTAGTAACCCCTTTGTCTGTATAAATTACTAAATGCAAAATGAAGAAAAACTTTTTTTTTTCTTTTTCAGGTCACCCTGCCTTAGTGGGAGATGACTGGGGTGTTAAAAAAAAAAAAAAAGAAACAGGTGCCCTGAAGCATTGGGCTCAATCTGGAGAGGCATTCTAGTCACTGCATGGAAGTAAACACTGGAAGGGAAAAAAAAGTCTGAACCACTCAAGATATCCCACCTTGTCAGGGATACCTAGTTACCTCCTCTAATCCATGTGTCATCAACCCATGCTAGGAAAGCTTTGCGTGTCTCAGGCTGAGGTATTTGTTGCAGCACAGCCAGGAAGGCCTCCTGTGCCCCCTTCAGGTCCATACTCCACCTATAATAAGAACACTTTGATAAGCCCAAAATGCACAAAAATCACAGAACAATAATAAAGCTACTGTATTTATGACCACCCTGGTTTCATTAATGTTATACTGTACATTATTAAGAAAATTTAATGCATTTAAGCCAGTGTATAGCATGCTGTAATAATATATACATGTACCAATAATGTATAATATCTAAGTTCAATGCTCCCAAGGGAAGTGCCCCAATGCCAGTAAGGGATTCTTGATCTAAGGAATTGGACATATTTCCTTCCTCGTATTTAACCTTCCCATCAATTACCCCAGGCACTGTAAAACCCCATATGAATTTAGTGCTCACCATGAATGTAATAATAATAAAAATAATAATAATAATAATAATAATGATAGCAATATATCAATAGTAATAATACCATAATAATAAAACTCAAATTTTTTTTTTCTAGACATACACTAAGATGTACTGTATACAACAAAGGATAGCCTTTGCATTATTTACTTACTGAGTACCCACATTTTATATCGAACAAATTCATTCAGTATGTGTAATACTGTTTACCTCAAATTTGGTTACATTATTAATAACACTTAAGCTGTAATACAGTGGAACCTCGGTATTCGAATGCTTTGTTTGGTAAACAAATTGCTTGGTAGTCAAGCGTTTGCTCGGCAGTCGATCATACAAATGTGACCAACCAGAACTTCGCTGTAAATCATTTCACGTTTCTTTGTATTTTTTGGTGCTTTTTATATTATTTGTATAAATAAGTCACCATGGGGCCTAAGAGGGTTAGTGATAACAGCCAACCAAAAAGAAAATTATTTGGGAAAAAATCTGTTCTGTATTCAAACAGATCGGCACTCAAACAGTCTTCTGGGACTGTATTCAAACAGATCGGCACTCGAACAGTCTTCTGGGACCAATTAAGTTTGAGTGCCATATTTCCACTGTAATTGAATGAACTTCCATGGTTGCCATTTGCAGTTAAAAATTGATCAGGAAGCTTCTTACTTGTGGCAACATTCACTCATGTGTGGTTATGAATTACAAAATAGTAAGTACGTAATTATCAATTAAAATTATTAAAAAAATATCTATTATGAGCCATAAAATAGTTATACATTTGAACTTATTATACAGCATTTTGAGTTTCCTCTTATTAAAATACATACTTAATTAAAATACTATTTTAATTTCATATGATAAGGTTCAGAAGAAAGCCACTAATTATACAAATGAATTTTGGGCAACTAATCATAAGGCTACATACTACTTACATCTAGATTTAGTACATAATTTTAATCGGTACAACTTGGGTAATTCATTACAATCATATGCACAATGAGATATGTTGCAAGTGAAAAACTGGTAATTACAAATAAACTGTAATAGATAACTGACCTGTATTTTATAGAGATGATGAATTGAAGTGGTGAAATCAAAGCATGATAACTTACCAACAGTTAATTGATATAACATGTGGGATTTAATAGGTGCGTTTTTTGATATTATTAGTCAAGATGAATATGAAAATGGTATATAATACTGACAAGTTGATATGTAAGACACATACGCAACAGTCTGGTATCTTTATTCTGAAATGTTTCGCCTACACAGTAGACTTCTTCAGTCGAACACAGAAAAGTTTAGCAGAGTAGAGATGTGAAGACTATCAATCAATCAATCAAGTTTATTCTCTATAAGGATTACAATGCGGGGTTTACAGATTTTGGTTATTGTGTGGTTTACATGTAATAAAATACTAATTACAGAGGGGGCCACTAGGACACCTAGCATGGCTAGGCATTTCGGGCAAACTTAGATTAATTCTTAACCCTAAATTATTATAAATTATGGAGTAAGTTGACTAAATACTAAGTGACTAAATACTAGTTTGTGAGTTTAGCAATGTGAATGCTTTTGTTTTGGCACAATATATAGTTTCTATATTGGAGTATCGCAGGCAAACTTATGACTAGTTAGGAATCATTATTTTAAGATTAAGATTCGTATTTCTGTGCTTATAGTCAAATGGGTGAGTGATTGAGTGTAAGTGTGAACCACCAGGTGTATCAAGGAGATAAGATGTACATAATCAGTCCATCACCCTTAAAGACATAGTTTTGAGGTGGTCAGTCCCTCAGCCTGGAAAATGAGTTTGGTCCATAGTCTGTAACAGTGTGACACTGTTCCAGACTATGGACCTTTGAGACAATTAGGTTGGATACAAGGAAGTAGAGGAAAAGTCCAAGACTTTGGTTCATAAACCCTTCACTAGCATCAAGGAAGATCCGTAAAGGAGTCTAATGTAACATAATGTAGCCTAACCTAACCTAAAATGAACCTAAATTAAGTTGTTGGATCCCATGTAACAGAAACCTGTCCTATGAAGATAGGCTGAATGCAATGAATTTGCACTCTAAAAAGACAGAATTAGGGGAGATATAACTGAAGTGTACAAACCTAAATTAGGAATAAAGAAAAGGAATATAAATACCACGTTGAAATATTTAACCAAGACAGGACTCCCAGTAACAATTCAAGCTGGACAAATTTAGATTCACAAAAGATTTCAGGAAGTATTGGTTTCGTCAATCAGGTAGGTGAGTGGAACAAATTACCATGAAGCAACACTGGGGCAAGAACTTTGGGTAGGTTTAAATATAGGTTGAAGAGATACATAAGTGGGTGTGAAGTGGACCTGCCTAACATAGATCAATAAGTACTACTGTAGTGTTCCCATCAATGTTACTGAATACCTTTCTAAAATACCCAGAGCAGCCGCTTCAATAATTATTTTATATTTTATTCAACCCATTTATAATTACTGCCAGTTGTCATAAATTCTTAAATTTAACAAATATTGAGCAAACTTTGATACTTGTAAGCTCTTCTACAATCAAGGTTCTCAATGGATATAAGTCCCTGACTTTTTGGGGGGTTATTCTAGGTAATTTACGTATGTTACTATGTATGATAATTGTATTTATGTGGACCTGTACCTAAGTAAACTTACCAATAATTTTCCCTAACACGAAAGCAAGAACACAACAATTCTGAATTACGAGAGTGTTAAATCCAAAGGGGGTCACACAGTGCCTGTGGAATATGAGGTTATCAGGCTGACCCAAGGAAGCAGGATACCTCCTACTCCTTGGATCACGAGCCCCTCACCGACATTATTACCTCTAATATACATAATCAATAAAAAAATTATATTGCCTATCTGAATTTTAACAACTGTCATTTCCCAAGCCACCTCTAATAATATTACATAAACAATAAAAATATATATTGCCTGTCTGAATTTTAACAGCTGTCTTTTTCCCCAGCCACCACAACCTGACATAGAAAAGTTATCAGGAATTCCAGCCACATGGCGACCATCTCAGCTGTTGTTGTTGGGGTTGGTAAGGGCGGAGTAAAGCTACGCTTTCCCTGCCTCCTGGGAAAATATTGCTCAAATATGAGGGGATGGGGGAAATTTGAAAGGAAACAAAGTTTCCTCCGGAAAGAGAAACCAGAGCATGAAATTCCCAAGTTAGATCAGGTGGAGGTCAGAGCTAAACACCGGCAGAGCCAGGCGTCTGAGTATGCACATCTACACACCACCAAGGCCACTGATCAAGTCCACCTCAGTGTTCTTGGTGTTCATGAGGCTTTAAGGGCCTCTAACATCAGCTCTCGCCTTATCGAGCCTTGCTTCCCGATACACGAGGAAGATGTATTGAATAATAATAATAATAATAATAATAATAATAATAATAATAATAATAATATTATTATTATTATTATTATTATTATTATTATTAGCATAATTATTATTTCTACAAGTACATGTACAAGGCATACAGGCCTAGCTGACATTAACGACATACTGCTATATTGAAAGCCGCTTGTTATTCAGAGTATTTCGGGCAAATTAGGTAAATTTTGTCCTCAGGATGCGACCCACGTCAGTCGACTAACACCTAGGTACCTATTTTACTGATAGGCGAACGGGGACAGCAGGTGTTTTAAGGAAACACGTCTTAATGTTGCCACCCGTACCGGGTATCGTGCCACGGACCTCACTGTGAGATGAGTGCGCTACCAACCCAGCTACGGAAAACCCAAAGCTGGGTGATGAGAAGGAAAAGAAACAATAGTACCTCTTACCAAATAAAAACAGGAACTGAAGTTCTCAATTAGGTCAAGTGGACCCCCTTACATAAGCCCCAGAAAAGCGGGACACTAACCAGAACAGCTTTAATTAAGATTATCTAGATACAGGTACACAAAAGTACAGTTACATAAATTTGTAAATTACCTAGGATAACCCAAATAAGTCAGACGAAGTGACTTATTTCCTTTGGAGTCCCTGTTATTAATTTAATGTTTATTATGCACCCTATACCCATCCTGTGGGCGGTAGTCAAAAGATTACAGAGGTACATAATGGGTCCAGGGACTGGACTCCAAAGTTTTGATAGCTGAGCAAATTACAAAGGTAATGGACTCCAGGTAGATCTGGTCACAATCGACAAAGACAAGTATCTCTGAGCAGATGATGAAGAAAAACTGCCACCTTAGAGAAAAACATCCACCCATTATCATGGCCGACACACAAGTCAATCCAATCACAGCTCAGATGAGTTGTTTGACAGACTAGTATTTTATTAATCCACATAAAAGGACCAAAAATATCAAGTAGCTTACCAGATAAATAATTTTTTTTAACAAATAAAGTTTAACAAATATGAAAACACATGTATGCAGAATTAGTTTAATCACATTTACTCTATGTATTTACCTCTTCCAAATAAATAAATGAAGTCTTCTCGATAAGATTGACAGATTTCATTGCCTCAAGTGAAATGTGTCAGCAAACAGGATAATCAACGTGCGTAATGGCATGGGCGAAACGTATGGGCACGTTTCCTTACATCTCTGCTGCCCCTGCCGGTCAGGAAAGGGCTCTTGGTCCAAGGAAGTGAACCTGCCTTCCTGCTTTTTGGATCGAACCTGAACGTCTCCCGTAACTGCAAAGTACCATTAACTTGCAGCAGACATATTTTATACGGAAAACAAGAGAGCATTTGTTACGTTTTCTTCCTAGATTTCAACGATATTTCCTGCTGGTGATAGGCTCTTGATCCAAGAAGCCAAACTTGTCCTCCTACATCGAGCCTGACTGCCTCCCGTAGGGGTTTAGCGCTCCTCTCCCTCCCCCATGAATATACTAATACTAATAATAATCCTCCCCAGTCGCCGGGAGGTAGAGCTTAACATTGCCTAAGCAGTGGTAACAATAAGATTAAAACGTTAATAAATTAAGAATATTATTACAATGTCATATTTTACAGATGATGGACTCAGTGGTAGGTCGAAATATTAAATTCTCATTCTTTGCAATGCTGAATGACCCGTAGAGCTTCAGCATCTTCTGAAGAATAACAAAAAAAAAAGTAATGGCGCTTTTGGTCATTATAATAATTTTTAATTCCCAAAATATTCCACGAATTTGTGAGACGAGTCTAAGAGGTTGGAGTCTCGTGTGTCATGGCGGAGGACAGGACCAGTGCTGTCGCTGCTCTAGGCTCTACCAGCTTCCTTACACGCCATATTATCTGTTTGTAGTGCAGTTTATGGACGGTGTGATGGATCTCGACATCAACCAGCTGGAAAATGAGTTCTTCGAGTGGAAACAGGTACGATTTTTGTGTTATGTCTACCGGCGTCTGTTGTATTTTGAGTATTATGTGGTACACACATCTCAAGGGCAGGAAACTTTAAATTAAGATTCTTTATTTCTCTGTTAATATTACAATGTGGGGTTTACATATTACAAGATATTATATATTACAAAACACTTATTACAAAGAAGGCCACTAGTATGCCTTGGTATTTCGTGCAGACACTTGGATGTAACTTATCCACTTCTAGTCAAGGTTGAGACTCAGTTACTGACCTGACCTTATGATGTTTAACCTGACTTATCGAGTGACGCGTGCATCATGTATATGGTAATTAATAATTCAGGTTGTGAATCATGCTGAGAGTCGTCCCTGACACCTGACACAAATATTCCGCCATGACACCAGTAACAAAAACACTAAATCTTTATTTTTTAACATTTTATGATTTTTCTCCTAAATATTTAAACATTTTGTAACTAACATGAGGTGGCATGTACAGTAATTAATCAAGATTCAGATTTGGCCATTGTTTAATGTCTGAATATTTTAATCATGTTTGTAATTATTACTTCGTTATATATTTAACACGTATCTTGCCTGAAACAAAAACTATTGTGATATTACGCGATAGTGCTTAAAGGTATAAGTTCACTTCGTCCTTGGGAGGAAATGAACTTACACTTTTTACTGCAGCCAGCAGCAACAGCCTGGTTGATCAAGCCCTGATCCACCGCGAAGCCTGGTCACAGACCGGGCCGCGGGGGCGTTGGTCCCCGAAACCCTCTCCAGGTATACCGCCGAGACTAAATTACCCAGGCTGAGTAGAAAAACAAAAAATCAGGAGAAAATCGTAAAAATTTTGCAAGACATACATCTTTGTTTATAGCTACGATTGTCTTATCTTTGCAAGAAAATGCGGAAAATGCTTAATATGTTTGGTATCTCATTTCTATTAATAAGATGTCTTGGCATATCACATAGGTTATTATACTGTATCAATATTCCTCAATAAATAGACATTTACGCACATAGTAGTTCAGTAAAATGGTCATAAGGATGACCACATGCTTTGCATTTAGTTTGATCATCATGTATGTGTCTGCCAAACTTCCAGAAGTAGTTGTAACTAAATTTACCTTGGCCTAGATACTACATTTCAGTCAATTTGTTCACATTGCAAGTTGCTCTGTAGATATACTTTTCTACATTCATTTTAGCACAGTGAGTGGTAGATCTACTTAGGCTCCTAACTGCATTCCTGTGACATTCAGTTTCAGAAAGAATAAAAGGCACAATACTGTGTCTGGAATAATACCCAAATAACCCTCACTTAGGAAACAAAATAAGCAGTTTCAGTCTGACTTGGGCCATTAAGGATTACTAGGGAAGAACCTCTTGGGAGATGTGATATTAAATTAATACATCTTCCATGGAGGAGTGAAAGACTCTTATTGACTATAGTGATACAGTTCGTGCTGGTTATAGAAATATAGTAGCATGTTTTCACAACCTATTCAGATCTATCCTTATTTGTTAGGTACAATTTTTTTTAATTTTAATTGACCCCCCCTCCCCTATAAATAGCTTAGCTTAAGGTACGAACAAAAAATGTTTTGTATATTTCCCTGGTACTGAACTAACGACTTTTAACATTATAAGTTTAACATGTATATATTTTATATGAATACTAAAACGATTGTTTAATCTAGTGTCATTTTAATTTGTTTACCAGTGAAAATTCCGGTACACTTTCAAGAAATTTGGCGTATTTTTTCCACTGTGGAAGGGTGCTGAAGTAAGATTATGAATCTCCTAATTCTGTATTATTTAAAATCGATATATGTTTTGCCATCTCAGCGCATATATAAAGCCTAGTTAGTATGTTGTACAGAACGCGGGACTTAAGGCCTCCAACAGTTTTATACGGTATATAGTTCTTATTTAAGGGATTTTTTTTTATGTTTGTGCATGTGCGAATTGCACTCAAAAGGTCGTATGTCAATTATTATTGTTGTTGTTATTGAATGGGAAGGCGCTATACCCGTGGTGGTCATGGAAGGTAATTAGATTTGATCCGAGGAAGGGAAGGGTAGCTTCATTTTCTTGGATCAGGAATTTTTCACTGCCCAATACCCAAATTTATATCCTGTTTATTGAACCTAGTGTGCTTACCGCACTACAGGAGCTCTGAACCTGTGAAAAATGCTGAGGGACTAATACAGTGTTTTCCAGATATTTATAATGAATAAGACCTTGCTTTGCATATGAGAATATTTTAATGGTTATGTCAAATATTGGCTAGATAGAGTTAAATCGGAGGCTGCCATAGTGAAGAGCTCTGTTCCACAAGGCACAGTACTCTCCCCCATCTTATTCCTTATCCTCATATCAGACATAAACAGAGATATACACCACAGCACCGTATCATCCTTTGCGGATGATACTAGGATCTGCATGAGGCTGTCATCTGCTGAGGACGCGTTAACCTCCAAGAAGATATAAACAAAGTTTTCCAGTGGGCAACGGTAAACAATATGATGTTCAGTGAGGACAAATTCCAACTACTCCGTTATGGAAAACTGGAGGAGATAATAACTAGAACAGAGTATACTACTGACTCCGGCCATACAATAGAGCGGAAAAATAATGTAAGGGACCTGGGAGTAGTAATGTCTGAGGATCTCACTTTCAAGGATCACAACAGTGCCACGATCGCACGTGCAAAGAAAATGATAGGATGGATAATGAGAACTTTCAAAACGAGAGATGCCAAGCCCATGATGATCCTTTTCAAATCACTTGTTCTCTCTAGGCTGGAATACTGCTGTACATTAACATCTCCATTCAAAGCAGGTGAAATCGCAGATCTAGAGAGTGTACAGAGATCTTTTACTGCACGTATAAGTTGTCAAGCACCTTAACTACTGGGAACGCTTGGAAGCACTTGACTTGTACTCGTTGGAACGCAGGAGGGAGAGATATATCATAATCTACACTTGGAAAATCTTGGAAGGAATAGTCCCAAATCTGCACACAGAAATCACTCCCTACGAAAGTAAAAGACTGGGCAGGCGATGCAAAATGCCCCCAATAAAAAGTAGGGGCGCCATTGGTACACTAAGAGAAAACACCATAAGTGTCCGGGGCCCAAAACTGTTCAACAGCCTCCCATCAAGCATTAGGGGAATTGCCAATAAACCCCTGGCTGCCTTCAAGAGAGAGCTGGACAGATACCTAAAGTCAGTGCCGGATCAGCCGGGCTGTGGCTCGTACGTTGGACTGCGTGCGGCCAGCAGTAACAGCCTAGTTGATCAGGCCCCGATCCATCGGGAGGCCTGGTCATGGACCGGGCCGCGGGGGCGTTGATCCCCGGAATAACCTCCAGGTAACCTCCAGGTAGATACCCCGAAGTGAAACAAGATGTCGGTGGTGTAAGGGCCGAGAGGGGTGGTATGGGCGGACATCCGTGTTTATCCCAGTATAATCAAGGAAGGTAACTCGCTGCCACCTCCTGCACTTCACAATAACAAACTTGAAGATAACACAAGTGCCAGAGCAGGATATGACTGGCTCCTGTGGTGCCTCTTACTGTTACACATTGCTACTGTTCCCACTCCCCTCCAGGGACGTTCCTTGATGCTGGTGAGGGACTCTTGATCTGTGGAATTAGATTCTGTGTTCCGTTTCCCTGAATTAAGCCTGAATGTCTTTCATTCTTCCCTCCACAGACGCTATATAATCCATAGAGGTTTAGTGCTTTCCCAATAATAATAATAATACTTTTTCACAACCTTTGTTGCTGCGGCTCTTTATTCAACTTCTTTTGTTACTGTACCTTTTTTTATGTGCTTTCTATTATTTTTATAATTTCTGTTACAGCTTTTGCTACTTCACGTAACGTTAAATATTACTACTCTACCATGACATATTTTATTTGATACTTTGACCATGTGGGTTGCTAGTAATTATAATGACAGTGCCTGCAGTACACCCCGTCACATTTTCCAGTGATTTTATTGGCATCCTGGGTAGTGTTAAGGACGAGGAACATACAGACCACAGCAGAACAGGATAAAATGCTAAAGCGGGGAGACTTGTAAGCTTCCTTCTCCCTTCCTCCATCAGTGAATATATAAGAAAATTCCAGTCTTCTGGAGGTTTTCAAGTTGTCTGGTGTATTCTCTGAATAAGAGTCACATTTCGCTGCTGTGTCTGGTAAATTTCTTTAGACACAGGTACACATAAGTTGTTATATATTGTAAATTACCTAGGATAACCCAAATAAGTCAGACTAAGTGACTTATTTCCATTGGTACCTGATGCTTGTCGGCATCTGTTTGCCTTTCATACCATGTGCTGGGTAAATGGTATCCGCAAAGTGCGGCGTATTTAATGATGATAGTAAAACAGGAAACTGTGGACAGAACTCAGCCTACCGTCACCAATGAGCTCAGTTCCGTTACTCTCCTCAACCCAAGCCACAAGCAAGAAGCAACTTGCCCTCATAAACAAACGTTGATTCCTTACATACTATTTTATACAGTTTTCTCTATATGCATTATTCAGGTTAGGTTAAGAGTCGTCTGTTAAGAGAATTTAACCATTTATTATGTACAGTAGTGTCAATAAATGCAAAAATACAGGATGGTGATAGAAACTTGAAGCGCGGACAGAATACTAACGGGGACCCCATGGAACAAACTGCACCAACACTGAAATGATCACGTTTTAACTCCAGTGTCAACATACACATTCAGTAGTTTTTAGCTAAAGTGAAATGTAGTACGTACTGAGGTTGCTTATGAAGAGAAGCTGCAGGAGGCTATGCTTTTCTCTTTGTCCACCCAAGGCTCCACCTCTAATCAACCCCCCTGGACTTATCACTAATCCACCACAGGCCTCCCTTATCTAATCCACCCCAGCCTCCCCTCTCTTATATACCCAAGGCTCCCTATCCCTATCCACCCCAGTTGCACTGTTAGTTACCGGTCGGCAATTATTATTATAATCAAGGGGAAGCGCTAAACCCGTAGGATTATACAGCGCCTGGGGAGGGAATGTGGAAGGCATTCAGGCTTAATTCGGGGAACTGGAGCACAGATCCAATTCCCTAAATCAAGAGCCCCTCACCAACATCAAGGAACCTTCCCTGAGGGGACCGGTCGTCAAAGGCACTTTCTGATACACACTTGGCCTTTTGTGTGAGGGTGTTTGCGTACACACTTGCTGTATATGCACTACCCTACTGTTATATGTGGTTGGAGGAGTTTAATCTTATCTCTTGACCTCGACCCTTCGCTGGCCGTTACTGGGTTCACTCTCTTGGCTTCAAGAGCCTTAGCGTACCTCTTCTTAAAACTTTGTATGGACCCTGCCTCTGCCACTCCACTGTACATATTCCATTTCTTGACCACCCTGAAGGTAAAGAAATAATTCATAACATCCTTGTAACTAAACTGTTTTCATTTTCCAGCTGTACCCTCGTGTTCATGTTTCCCGCCTCTCGAACACTGCCTATCCACCTCATCAATTCCTCATGTCACTCCTTTCCTATATCAGCCTACTTCCTGCACTCTGGGAAAAGTGTGTCGTTTCCATTCTGGTGCTGCATATTCCGACATGGAGCTGACGTTACACGGGTGTGGACAGTCTGTCTGAGTGGATTCCTTTCTTAAGTTTCTGAAAAGTAATTTAATATGCCAGACACACATTTTTTGGACAGTGTTCGTTGTCAAGGTTCAGATGTATGTTGGGTTCAGTATTCTAGCATGCAACAGTTGGTCGCCTATGAGTTTGCAGCCTATCCTTTCCCCATCCGAACTGTAATCTTTCCGTTTGCGTCTCGTTTGATTCTTTCCAATTTCACAACTCGTATTTGTTGGGTTAAATTCTAGCAGCAACTTGGTCAGACAACTTAGAACCCACGCTCCAATCCATTTTGTAATCTTTCCTGCTTCTCACGTGTTTTGTATTCTTTCCTTTTTCACATACCTGTCATCCGTACACAAGAAATACACAATAATCTGGTCCTATTTACTGATACTTAAGGAACACCACGCTCACATACGCCCACTTTTGAGTACTCTTTTTCACATTTGAATATTCCTGATCACTGTAGTTCCTCCCGGTTATCCATTACTGCTAGCTGATAAGAAATAATGCTTAAGAACCATATCATCTTTTTTTCTACATTACAAGTATAGATGTGCTGGAAGCGATTGTACATAAGCGACATACCTGCTGTGTACAAAGTCCCTTGTTTGAGGTCTTTCGGGACAAAACATAGGGCGGTGTTGGCCCGGAGGTCGTACTGTGACTGATGTGGGTCGCATCCGGTACCATTTACTGTTAGGGTGGAGCAAGGGCAACAGTGTGCTTAAGGAAAGCGGTTATCACCTGTTGTGGTTGAGGGGTCGCATGTCACAGTCGGTGAGGATTGTGTGGAGGGAAGCGGGGGTGATTAGTACTAATCCCTACTCCTCATGGCTTTGTCGTACCTACTGGGGGTGCTGGTGTGTCGTCCAGGGACATAAGGACAGGATCCATGTGGCAGTGTGGGGCGGGAGGGGGTCGGTATGTGGCAGGCTGTGTGGGCGGGAGGGGGTCGGTAATGTGCTAGACAGTGGGGGGTGGGGAGGTCGGTCATGTGGCAGACAGTGGGGGTGGGAGGAGGTCGGTCATGTGGCAGACAGTGGGGGTGGGAGGAGGTCGGTCATGTGGCAGACAGTGGGGGTGGGAGGAGGTCGGTCATGTGGCAGACAGTGGGGGTGGAAGGAGGTCGGTCATGTGGCAGACAGTGGGGGTGGAAGGAGGTCGGTCATGTGGCAGACAGTGGGGGGTGGAAGGAGGTCGGTCATGTGGCAGACAGTGGGGGTGGAAGGAGGTCGGTCATGTGGCAGACAGTGGGGGTGGAAGGAGGTCGGTCATGTGGCAGACAGTGGGGGTGGGAGGAGGTCTGTCATGGGAGAGAGGTGTGTTCACTGCAGCTGCAAACAATGCCACGGATCAGTCTCATATACAGGGAAGGAAGGGGGAGGAGGGGGTTGTGGAAGGGAGGAAGGGGTTGTAGAGGCTAGGGAGAGGATGAAGGGTTATGGGGGCTAGGGAGGGGAGAAGGGGATTATGGAGGCTGTGGAGAAATTTTCTCCAGGAAGGGGGTATCAGCCCCCTTCAGCCCCTTTCAGTCCTGAGGGGCCCAGCCCTCTCAGAAGGGGCAAACATCTTGTTTACTGTTACAGCAAGTAATTGATCCCAGATGCAGTACAAGTATGTGACATAGTCAAGCGACCGCCGCTCCTTGCAAGAGTCCAGTGTTGCAAAGTGTAGTTTAATAAAAGAGAGTCCATCTCTTACCTTAGCAGGAAAATTAAGGAAAATCCTGCTCTCACTTTATTACCATGGTAAAGATAGTGTACATTGTTGTCTATGCTTAAGACAGCAAGAATCAAGCATTCTGCTTTGCTTCATGGAGGAAGTTTGGCAAGGAACCAAAAAGTACTAGGTCAGCTTTTCCTTTATGTTCGAGGGGCACTGCAGTGGCGTAGGACGCTGTGAGGTCATTACTTTTCACCCTACTGGGAGTTACACCAACAAAGAACACTGATCCATGTGTTAGTGTGAACAAAGTGTCTCACAAAACACAATAAACACTTACAGGGAAGTGTGATCAGCTTCTTTAGTGATAAGATTGTGAACAATAAAGACAAACCTTATGGAACATAGTGTACCAGTGTGCGTATTCCTAGACTATGGAAGACATGGACATCCAAGGACACTTCAGTTTCTATCAAGTCACCGATACCTGTCGAGGGTGTAAAGAACACCATAGCTCCCACTACAAGAGCAAGGTGAGTTGCAAATTTCTTGTAGTACGTAGACTGCGCAGTTCTTGTGTCACAAGGAGTTTGTAATCAACCTATAGTCGGCAGTGAGGTGCAGACTTTTGAGTCCACACACCTAAGTTCGTCAGCAATCAGTGAATGAAATATGCTGACATAACACCCCCTAGGGGTAAATTATTGTTAACATAATATGCTCTATTACAGCCCGTTGTGAAGTGGGTGAGACAGCTTCTCAAGACCTCGCCTGCAGGGGCGGCTGTGTGGCGATAGCTGTCTTATCAGCTAAGTTCCCCCTATATTTAATCTTTAACCTTAGCTGGTAAACCATTTCTCAACAGAGGCTAGGGAGGGGAGGAGAGGTTGTGGATGCAGGGGAGAGGGTTGGGGAGGCAAGGGAGGGGGTTGTGGAGACTAGGGATGGGAGGGGGGTTGTGGAAGCTAGAAAGGGGCGAGGGGTTATGGAGACTAGGCAGGGTCGACGGGGTTGTGGAGGCTATGGAGGGAAGAGGGGGTTGTGGAGACCAAGGAGAGGGGTGATTGCGGAGGCCAGGAAGGGGAGGAGTTTGGTTGTGGAAGCGAGGGAAGGGAGGAGGGGGTTGTGGAAGCTAGGGAGGGGAAGAAGAGGGTTGTGGAAGCCAGCGAAGGGAGAGGGGTTTATGGAGCCCAAGGAGGGAGGGGGGAGTTGTGGAGGCCAGAGAAGGGAGAGGGGGTTGTGGAGGCCAGATAAGGGAGAGGAGGTTATAAAGGCCAGGGAGGAGAGAGGAGGTTGTGGAGGCCAAGGAGAGGGGAAAGGGTTGTGGAAGCCAGGGAGGAGAGCGGATGGTGTGGAGGCCAAGGAGGAGAGACGGGGTTGTGGAGTCTAGGGAGTGGAGAAGGGGTTGTGGAGACCAGGGAGGGAAAGGGGATTGTGGACTCCAGGGAGGTTAGGGGTTATGGAGGCCAGCGAGGGGAGGGGTTGTGGAAGCCAGAGAGGGGAAAGGGGGTTGTGGAGGCGAGGGAGGGGAGAGGAGATTGTGGAGGCCAGGGAGGGGTTCTGGAGGCCAGGTAGGAAAGAGGGGGTAATGGAGGCCAGGGAGGGGATAAGAGATTGTGGAGGCCAGGGAGGGGAGAGTTTTGGAGGCCGGGGAGGTTAGGGGTTCTGGAGGCCAGGAGGTTAGGGATTCTGGAGGCCAGGGAGGTTAATGGTTATAGAGGCCAGAGAGGGGTTATGGAGGCCAGGGAGGGGAGAGGGGGTTGTGGAGGCCAGGGAGGGGAGAGGGGTTGTGGAGGCCAGGGAGGGGAGAGGGGGATGTGAAGGCTAGGGAGGGGAGAGGGGGTTGTGAAGGCCACGGAGGGGAGAGGGGTTGTGGAGGCCAGGGAGGGGAGAGGAGGTTGTGGAGGCCAGGGAGGGGAGAGGGGGTTGTGGAGATCAGGGAGGAGAGAGGGGGTTGTGGAGGTCAGGGAGGGGAGAGGGGGTTGTGGAGGCCAGGGAGGGGAGAGGGGATTGTGGAGGCCAGGGAGGGGAGAGGGGTTGTGGAGGCCAGGGAGGGGAGAGGGGATAGTGGAGGCCAGAGAGGGGAGAGGAGTTGTGGAGGCCAGGGAGGGAAGAGGGGATTGTGGAGGCCAGGGAGGGAAGAGGGGGTTGTGGAGGCCAGGGAGGGGAGAGAGGGTTGTGGAGGCCAGGGAGGGGAGAGGGGGTTGTGGAGGCCAGGGAGGGGAGAGGGGGTTGTGGAGGCCTTGGAGGGAGAGGGGGTTGTGGAGATCAGGAAGGGGAGAGGGGGTTGTGGAGGTCAGGGAGGGGAGAGGGGGTTGTGGAGGCCAGGGAGGGGAGAGGGGATTGTGGAGGCCAGGGAGGGGAGAGGGGGTTGTGGAGGCCAGGGAGGGGAGAGGGGTTGTGGAGGCCAGGGAGGGGAGAGGGGGATGTGGAGGCTAGGGAGGGGAGAGGGGGTTGTGAAGGCCACGGAGGGGAGAGGGGTTGTGGAGGCCAGGGAGGGGAGAGGAGGTTGTGGAGGCCAGGGAGGGGAGAGGGGGTTGTGGAGATCAGGGAGGGGAGAGGAGGGGTGTGGAGGCCAGGGAGGGGAGGGGTTGTGGAGGCCAGGGAGGGGAGGGGGTGTGGAGGCCAGGGAGGAGGGTGTGGAGGCCAGGGAGGGAAGGGGGTGTGGAGGCCAGGGAGGAGAGAGGGGTTGTGGAGGCCAGGGAGGGGGGAGAGGGGTGTGGAGGCCAGGGAGGGGACAGAGGGGTGTGGAGGCCAGGGAGGGGAGAGAGGGTTGTGGAGGCCAGGGAAGGGAGGGGGTGTGGAGGCCAGGGAGGGGAGAGGGGTGTGGAGGCCAGTGAGGGGAGAGGGGTGTGGAGGCCAGGGAGGGGAGAGAGGGTTGTGGAGGCCAGGGAGAGGAGGGGGTGTGGAGGCCAGGGAGGGGAGAGGGGGTTGTGGAGGCCAGGAAGGGGAGAGAGGGGTGTGGAGGCCAGGGAGGGGAGAGAGGGTTGTGGAGGCCAGGGAGGGGAGAGGTGGTTGTGAAGGCCAGTGAGGGGAGAGGGGGGTATGGAGGCCAGGGAGGGAGGGGGTTGTGGAGGCCAGGGAGGGGAGAGGGGTTGTGGAGGCCAGGGAGGGGAGAGGGGGTTGTGGAGGCCAGGAAGGGGAGAGAGGGGTGTGGAGGCCAGGGAGGGGAGAGAGGGTTGTGGAGGCCAGGGAGGGGAGAAAGGGTTGTGGAGGCCAGGGAGGGGTGGGGGTGTGGAGGCCAGGGAGGGGGGTGTGGAGGCCAGGGAGGGAAGGGGGTGTGGAGGCCAGGGAGGAGAGAGGTGGTTGTGGAGGCCAGGGAGGGGAGAGAGGGGTGTGGAGGCCAGGGAGGGGAGAGGGGGTGTGGAGGCCAGGGAGGGGAGAGAGGGTTGTGGAGGCCAGGGAGGGGAGGGGGTGTGGAGGCCAGGGAGGGGAGAGAGGGGTGTGGAGGCCAGTGAGGGGAGAGGGGTGTGGAGGCCAGGGAGGGGAGAGAGGGTTGTGGAGGCCAGGGAGGGGGGGGGTGTGGAGGCCAGGGAGGGGAGAGAGGGGTGTGGAGGCCAGTGAGGGGAGAGGGGTGTGGAGGCCAGGGAGGGGAGAGAGGGTTGTGGAGGCCAGGGAGGGGAGGGGGTGTGGAGGCCAGGGAGGGGAGGGGTGGTGGAGGCCAGGGAGGGGAGAGAGGGTTGTGGAGGCCAGGGAGGGGAGAAAGGGTTGTGGAGGCCAGGGAGGGGAGGGGGTGTGGAGGCCAGGGAGGGGGGTGTGGAGGCCAGGGAGGGAAGGGGGTGTGGAGGCCAGGGAGGAGAGGGGGGTGTGGAGGCCAGGGAGGGGAGAGAGGGGTGTGGAGGCCAGGGAGGGGAGAGAGGGGTGTGGAGGTCAGGGAGGGGAGAGAGGGTTGTGGAGGCCAGGGAGGGGAGGGGGTGTGGAGGCCAGGGAGGGGAGAGAGGGGTGTGGAGGCCAGTGAGGGGAGAGAGGGGTGTGGAGGCCAGGGAGGGAGAGAGGGTTGTGGAGGCCAGGGAGGGGAGGGGGTGTGGAGGCCAGGGAGGGGAGGGGGTGTGGAGGCCAGGGAGGGGAGGGGGGTTGGAGGCCAGGGAGGGGAGGGGGTGTGGAGGCCAGGGAGGGGAGGGGGTTGTGGAGGCCAGGGAGGGAGGGGGGTGTGGAGGCCAGGGAGGGGAGGGGGGTGTGGAGGCCAGGGAGGGGAGGGGGGTGTGGAGGCCCAGGGAGGGTTGTGGAGGCCAGGGAGGGGTTGTGGAGGCCAGGGAGGGGGTTGTGGAGGCCAGGGAGGGGGGGTGTGGAGGCCAGGAAGAGGGTTGTGGAGGCCAGGGAGGGGGGTGTGAAGGTCAGGGAGGGGGTTGTGGAGGCCAGGGAGGGGGTTGTGGAGGCCAGGGAGGGGGTTGTGGAGGCCAGGGAGGGGTTGTGGAGGCCAGGGAGGGGGTTGTAGAGGCCAGGGAGGGGGTTGTGGAGGCCAGGGAGGGGGTTGTGGAGGCCAGGGAGGGGGTGGAGATACGAGCAGCAACAGGAAAAATATACAAAGGCTAGTGTAGGGAGGGGAGGGGGTACCTGGGGCAGATTATTACATTCATAAGGGAACGCTAAACCCGTAGGGGTCATTTAGCTCCCGGGGGGAATTGGAGGCAATCAGGCTCGATGTAAATGAAGGATATATCCAGTTTCTTGGATCAAGAGCCCCTCACAGACATGAAGGCAGCTCCTCCGCTCCACCTCCCTCCAATGATGGATCTAGGACGGAAAGAGTCGTTTGGGAGAGAAAGGAGGAGGGGGAGGTGGGAGGGGGAGGGGTTGAAAGAAGAGAGGGGTTTGTGGTGGAGGGAAGGAACCGATTTGGTGAGATGATGTAATGCACAGGTAGGCACTGTTGTTGTGGAAACAGGGGGAGGGGGGCGGGACTCCTTGCTACGGTTGTAGGGCAGGGAGGGTAGGCATAGCCTCCCCCTGACCATGAGGGAGGCTGAAGTGAGGGTGAGGATGAGAGAAGGGGTGATGGTGAGTAAAGGGGGTGATGGTGAGTAAAGGGGGTGATGGTGTGAGACAGTGATGGTAACAGGAACAGCATATGAAGGAGTTACAGAGGTAGTACAAGAATACTAATCTTAAATGTGTGTATACCATTAATGACGGGATTCAGGGGAAACCGGTTACCCGGACTCAAGTCCTGGAGTTGAGAAGTACAGTGTCTGCACTCTGAAGGAGGGGGTGAGGTTCTGTACCCACGGGGTTAATGACCCAAGAGAGCTTCTGTCTAGCTTATTTCCACTGGGGTTCCTTCACCGTCTTCCCCAGAAAGCAACCCACAACACTTAGCTAACACCCAGGTACCTCCTTACTGTTAGGTGAACAGGGACAGTAGGTGTAAAGGTGTAAATCGGCATGCCCAGCATATCCTCCTTTGCAGGGATCGAACCCAGGTCCTTCTGATATGAACCTAAGGTACTGGCACTTGAGACACAAGCCTTGTGGAAGGTTCGTGGTAATATTTTACGCGTGACTCTACCTTACATATGACTACCCTTGAACTCTC